GCCAACAGCAGCAGCAGCAGCAGCAGCAGCAGCAGCAGCAGCAGCAAGAAGGCCTGCGCCAGACACGCAGCAGCAGCCCTCTTCAGTTCAACGGTTTTGCTGTTCTCCTCCAGCAAGTTTGTACTCACTGCGGTGCCCGCTAGTGCACGCAAAAGGGCTTGGGGGATTCCCAGCAGCAGCAGCAGCAGAAACAGCAGCAGCAGCAGCAGCGGCGGTGGGAGGCTACGTTGGTGCTGGGCAGAGGGCTCCTGCGGGGGCGCTGCAGCAGCTCTTAGGGCTGTGCATGCAGCCCCAAGTTTCAGTTTTAGCCAGAGCTTAGCTGCTGGTGTTGCTGCTGCTGCATGCTTGTGCAGGAGATCAGCAGTTTTAAGAAGGAAGCTCAAGACCTCGGGTTTGGGTTTGCTGCTGCATGCATGCACGGGTGTGAAAGCCCCAAGTAATTTAGAAAGCAGCAGATCAAGCCAGAGTAGAAGGGGAATATGATTACATTTTTAAGACAGGAGAGCATGCATGCATGCTGCATGCATGCCCCTCGACTTCTGGGTTTGCATGCATGCGTCTCCGAGTTTTATTTTCTTTCCAAAGACACGGCAGCAGCCGTAAAGTCAGGGCTTTTGCCACTTTGGTTCCAGCTGAGGCAGCAGCCTTCTGCTGCAGCTGATTGGCCCTCAGCAGACAGGGGCTTTTAAAAGAGTTTTCAGTTTCCCGAAAGTGTTTTATTTTCTTCAAAAAGAATCTAAACCTCTTAATTAAATCTTTGCCTCTATGCTGTGCTCTCTTTGTGCTTCTCTGAGAAAACAATTTTCATAAAACAACCCGCCCTGAGCCCTCCCTAGCTAGGGTGATTTGCCTTGCTGCAGCAGCAGCAGTCTGCTGCTGCTGCTAGCCCCTCTGCTTCTGCTGCTCGAGAGCAGCTGTTGCAGCCTTTACGGGCCAGAGGCAGAGGCCGCAGTTCTGTGGCTTTTGGCTGCTGCTGCAGCAACAGCCCTGACGGGCTTTCGCAGCAGCAAACAGAAAGCTATTTCAAACTGCCACTCCCTGCAGCTTCGCCTGCTGCACTGGCAGCATTTTGGGCGTGGCTGTGGGCCTGTTTTGCGCAGCTGCAGCAGCAGCAGCAGCAGCAGCCACAGGTGGTGCAACGCCCCCCAGGCAGCTGCGCCGCCGCAGCCGACTCACTCTAGCAGCCGAGGCAGTTAGCTGCAGCCCACAGGCACTGGTAGAGCCCCAAAGTCTGCGCTGGATGGGCTTAAAAGGCTGGAACTGTACGGGAACTCGCTGCAGGTGTGGGCTCGCTGAAGCTGTCTAGCTGTGAGGACTTCGGGTGGAAGTGTCTGTGCAGGGAGGCGAGGGGGAAGCGCAGAAAGCTGCCTCGGAATGAGATCGCCCAAAAGAAAAGAAGCACTACGCGGAGTATTTGCGGGGAGAGAAACAGAAAAGAAGTTGCTTTTCAGTGAAGCAAGAGAGGTACTGGGCCAGCTGCCGGCAGTGTCTGCCCGTAGGGCCGCAGCCCCACACAGGCAGGCGGATCCTGGGCGAATAAGGGGATATTCGCGGACAAACAAAGACCAAAAAGGAGTTCAGATTGTATCTAAGCTACTGCGAAACAAGGAACGAGAGGAAGCCTACGAAGTGTCTAGCTAGGCAACGCTGCAGGCTGCAGCGCACCACCGGTCGGGGTGGACTGGCCAGCAGAGCAGCGGCATCGAGTGGAAACCGGCGCTCTCTGTCTGTTGTCGTTGGCGCCTCTTTTGGTTTTTTCGGGTTTTATTCTGTCAACGGATGAAAGAACATATAAGGAAAGATTCCACAAGTCCACGGCTGCCTCGTGACACTCGCCACCTTCAGTTTCCGCAGCTGAGCGCCCGCGGCGTCCACCCTCGCGCTCAAACCGTTTTGGCCCCAACACAACCCTTTTAGCTCCATTAAATGCGAAAGAAATACTTTAAAAACTCATCGAGCTCCTTTTCCGCAGCCGGAGCCCGCGGACGCCTTCACATTCAACGTGAATCTGCACAGCGGTCGCTGCTGCTGCACTTCCGCTGCCTTCCGCAGCTAAACCTGTGCCTCTCTTCCACCGTATGCGGTTCTTTCTACTTCAAAGCTTCTCAGTTTATTCTGGCTACTCATCTGCTCGAATTTTTTGCCGCTGACAGCCCCAAACTGCGACCCCCACGGCGGCGCTCGGCGGCTGCGTCTTTGCGCCTGCGTGCGAAACGTCCTCTCCCTGCAAAATAAGTGCCTCAGCAGCGCCTCTTTGACTTTCTGCGTTGTCTACCAACTCTGTCTCTTCTTTTTTCTAGAAAACTGCCGCCGCAGAGTGCCGGATTCTGGCAGATTCCCCCACCAACTGCTGGAGCCGACTCACGGGGGCCCCTGTACAGAGCCACCCTCACACTTAGGGATGGCTGCAGCGCTGCATCTGCTACGGCCCCTCAGCTTTTAGTCAAGAGCCCGGCGCTCCCCCTCCCCAGCAGCTCCTGCAGCGCAGCCCAGCAGCGCAGAGTCCTGCCGAGCATCTCTTTGCTGCTGCTTCAAAATGGACCCCGGGGGCCCCCCTGTTGGTTACGAAGGCCCTTCTGCAGCTGGCGGAGTGGAGGGCGAGTCTCGGCCTCTGCATGGGGCCCCTCGCGGGGGCCCTCGAGGGGCCCCCGCCGGGGCTTCTTGCAGGGGCCCCCCGGGATTTGGGGGTGTCCGTGGGCCCCCTGCGGTGCCCCAGACCCTCTCCGAGGGCCCCTTCTACCTGGGAATGCAGGACTTTAGCTGCTATACCCTCTTGGGGCGCACGAGGGCCCTGGGGCCCCTGGCGGGGGAGGCTGAGGCTGCAGTCTTGGAGGGGGCCTCTCGGATCCTCCGGGGGTACCGGCGGCGAGTCAGCGAAATGCAGCAGCGCCGGAGGCAACGGGCCCGATTTTCCAGCAGCCAAGGGGCCCCCTGGAGGCCCCACGGGGGCCCCCAGGCTGAGGGTCTTCCGGGGCACCGTGGGGCCCCCTTGGCTTCTTACGAGCAGGAGCTGACGGGGGCCCCTGGGGACTTCGCAGCCCCAGCCAACAGACTCGAGACCCTCCCCGGGGGCCCCCAGAGGCACTGGGGGCCCCAGGGAGAGCTGCTGCAGCTGCCTCTGGGGCTCTCAGGAGTGGAGATGGTCGCGGAGACTCATGTCTGCTTTTGTCTGTCCCGTCTGTTGGTGTCGAGTGTCTCTTCTTGTTCTTTGCGCAGCTCAGCCTGGCCCTCTCAGAGTCTCGAGCGTCTGAGCTGCTGCGGCCCTTTTCCTGGGGAAAAGAGGCAGGCCGAGGGGGCCCCCAGGGACCCCCTGGGGCCCCTGAGGCTGCCTAGCTTTGGGGATGGAGATGCCTCTGGGGCTGCCTCGGAGGCCCAGTGGGTGTCTTCTCGGCCGCGGGCTTCGCCGAACTTGGAAGGCCAAGATGGCAGCCCCGAAGCCTTGGCCCAGCAGCAGCAGCAGCAGCAGCAGCAGCAGCAGCAGCAGCAGCAGCAGCAGCCTGTGCGTTACCCCGGCGGCGCCCCGCGAGAAGGCCCACAGAGCCTCTCCCATCCCCTTGCAGAGCCCGCAGACTTGCAAAGGCTGCTGCGGCTTTTTGTCGGGAGAGAAAGGCAGCTGCGGAGCATTTTGCTGCGTTCAAGGGGCCCCATGGGGGAGGGGAGGCCCCCAGAGGTCTCCAGCAGGCGGCAGCAGCCGTCTTCGCCAGCTGAAGCAGCAGCAGCAGCAGCAGCAGCAGCGGCAACGGCGGCAGCAGCAGCAACAGCAGCCGATGCGCCTGATGACCCAGGCGCCTTGTTCCTTGAGTGGCTTTCTCCGCAGCCTCTGCTGATTCCTGAGCAGGGTGCTGCCGCAATTGCTTCCAAGTTCCTTGCAGCTGGGGCTTCCCCCGAGACAGCAGCAGCAGCAGCAGTAGCAGCAGCAGGGGGGCCCCCCCCCATCCTCGAGGACTGCTTGGCTGCGTCAGTGGGCAAGACGGGGGCCCCCGTGCCTGCCTGCGCAGTGCCGCGGGCGCTGCTGCCTCTGCAGCAGCGGCTCAGCAGCATTTTTGGGGCAGCAGCTTCGCTGGGGGCCCTCGAGAGCAGCAGAGAAAGCAGCAAAGAAGCAGCAGAAGCGGGGCTGGGGGCCTGGGCCCTGGCGGAGGAGTCGCCGGCCTCTTCGAAGTCTTTGGGGGCCCTTTGGGGCCTCCAGGAGAGCCAGAGAAGCTTCGAAAGGCCCGGAGAAGCAGCAGCAGCTGCTTGGGACTTGTTGGTGGACAGTGTGGGCCACCAGCCGGGGGCCCCTGGGCGGCGCCCGCTGTGGGCCTGGCAGACGCTGGAGATGCACCTGCAGCAGCAGCTGCAGCAGCAGCTGCTGCAGCCCGCGCACTTAATCGACTGCCTCCGGGGGGCAAAGGCCAGACTCCTCAGGGGCCTCCCCCCAGCCTTCGGGGGCCCCTGCCAGGCCCGCAATGCTGCAGAAGCTGCGGAGGCCCTTCAGGGGCCCAGCTACTGCAGGGGTTCTGCTGCTTACTGCGAAATGGGGACTTTGCTGCGCACGCTGCTGCAGGTGGCTCGCCGGCAGGTGCGGCCGCGCGTGCAGCAGCAGCAGCAGCAGCTGCTGCTGCTGCAGCCGGCGCGCAGAGGCGCGCTGCAGCTCGAAGAGCAACACAGTAGTGGCCGCGAGGCCCTGGGGGAATCTTCAGACATTAAAGAAACACTGGCCCTGGAGGCTGTGGCCCAGGCCCTAGATGGCCTTTTGCTGCTGGCCATCCACGGGAGCACTTTGACTTGTCTTTTGGAGTTCCTTCTGACTCTCATGGAGACTGTCGACTACTTGCAGCAGGGAGACGATGGCTGCCCGCAAAGCAGCAGCAGCAGCAGCAGCAGCAGCAGCAGCAGCAGGGCCGCGGAGGAGGCGCTGCTGGCGCAGGAGCCCAGGTTTGCGTTCCCCTCTCTGGACGCGCTGGAGCTGCTGGCTGTGCAGTCGCGCTGCTGGTTTGCTGCTCCTTCGGATGGCCACAGAACTTATGTTGTGGGGTGCAAGAGGGGCCCCCCGGGGTCCTGCGAGGGTTCTTTGCCAGTGCTTTCCAACTCTTTGGGGACTTCGGGGGCCTCCATAACTCAGCTGCAGCTGCTGCTTCCGGGGGCCTCCAGCTGCTGCTCCGCCGAGGGCTCCGCCTTCGCCGCTGCAGACGGCCAGGGGGCCCCCAGGGGCCCCGACGGGGCTGCATGCATGCTGCTGGAGTTCCTCTATGGCAACGAGCGCCTCATAAGGCTCCACAAAGACAGAGGCAGGGGCAGTCTGGGGGCAGCAGGCAGCAGCACTGACGAGGGCGAGGCCCTTTTGCTGTACATTGAGGCCTCCGAGGCGGCGCTGGCGGTGTGGGCCCGCGAGGGGGGCCCCCCGGGGGCCCCCGGGGCCTCGGGGGCCCCCGGGGCCCCCGCGGAGGGCGTTTCTCCCGCGAGACTCAGCGGCGGCGTGGCAGTGGAGACGGGAGACAGCCAGAAGGCCCTGGTGGCGCTCTTTGACTTGAGAGGAGAAAGGAAACTGACTTTGGAGCTGCTGGTAGACAGAGGGGCCCTGCAGCCGAAGCTGCTGGAGGCAGCAGAAGAAATGGAAGCAGCAGCAGAGGCCCACAGGGGGGCCCCCGTGCGGGGCGCTGTTGTAGACAGAGTCATGGGGCTGGTGCAGCAGCCGATGGAGGAGCTGGTGCTCTTCATTAATGGAAAACGTCTTTGCTGCATTCCCCTCCCGGGGCCCCCCTGTGTGCCCCCGGCCCTGCAGGCGAGGCCCAAGCAGCTGCTGCTGCGGGCCCAGCTCGAGGGGGGGGCCCTTTTGATATCCCCTCCTTCTCCCACTTATTCGCGACCCTTCGTGGACGAGCTGAGGGCCCGTTCGGTGATCTCGGGGGCCCCCGGGAGCGACCCTATGGGCCCCGCGGGGGGCCTCGCGAGCTCCAGCAGCAGCAGCAGCAGCAGCGGCAGCAACCTGCTGTCGCTGGAGCGGCTGCTGCAGCTCAGCTGCGAGGCCGTGCACCGCCTCTGTCTGAGGGCCGAGGCTGAGGGGCTGCTGCACAGCAGCAGCAGCAACGAGCAGCAGCAAACGGGCCGCGGACTTGTGGGTATGGAAGAGCCTCTTTCGGGGGCCCACAAAGTTGTGGCTTCGGGGGACTTTCCAGCAGTGGAAGCAGCTTTGCGGCTGCTGGAGCACCAGCAGCACCTGTGGCAGCAGCAGAGCCGGGCTCGCCGGCCCTGCGGGAAGCCAACCCAGCAGCAGCAGCAGCAGCAGCAGCAGGAGGGGCCGAAGAAGCAGCAGCGGCCGGAAGAGAAGGAGCAGCAGCAGCGTGGGGAGCAGCAGCACTCGGACAGGCTGAGCTGCAGGTCTTCCAGCCTGGACTCTGTTGTGCATTCCGTGTCTTCTTCTTCTTCATCTGTCAGCTGGGCAGCCGCCAGCACTGCTGCCACAGACCCTAGTTTAGGGTTTGCTGCTGGCAAGGGCTGCTCGCCCAGCCAGGGGCCCCTGACGGGAGGCCCCGGCAGCCCCAGCAGCACGCGGCTAGAGCTGCCGCGGGGGGCTGAGGAGGCCCTGGGGTTTGCTGCTGCGCAGCCCCCGGCGCAGGCGCCGGGAGCCTTCGCCGACGCAGCAGCTGCTGCTGCTGCTGCTGCTGCTGCTGCGGAAGCGGGAGCAGCAGCAGCGCTGCTGCTGCCGGCGCCAGAGAGGGCGACGGCGATTGCAGTACAGCAGCAGTGGCGGGGGCGCGCGGAGTGTATGTACAGCGTGCTGGGGACCTTGAGGCTGCTGCTAAGCCCCAGGCATGGGGCTTTGCGGGGCCGCATGGAGCTGCTGGCTTCTGTGGGGCCGCGGCTGCTGCGGAGTTTCCTGTACTACTTCTGCATTGCGCCGCCTGCTGCAGGCTGCTGCTGCTGCAGCAGCTGCAGCGCGAGAGCCGCGGGAGACCCAGCGCTGGTCCAGGCCCTCTTCGACGCCCAGGGGGCCAGCTGGCTTCTTAAGAGAGGAGTAACTGCAACACTTGCTGCTGCCACCCCCGAGAATCTGCGCGTGCTGCTGAGCAGCGCGCGGCCGCAGACGCTGCTGCTGCTGCTGCTGGCCCTCAGCAGACCCCGCCCGCAGCAGGAAGCCTTCGCTGCTGCCCTGCTGCAGGTCTTGGAGGAAAGCAAAACTGGCAAAGTGCTGGTCTTGCGGCTTCTGCACGAGACCCGGGCCGTCTGGCCCAGGCGGGGGGCCCCCCCGGGGGCCCCGGGGGGCGGCGAGGAGGGGCCCCCACACGAAAGTGCAGCGGCGGAGCTGCTGCCGGGCTGCCAGTTCCAGCTGGAGGCGGCGGGGGGCCCCCTGGGAGAGCTGCAGCTGGGCCCGCTGCCCGCGGGGGGCCCCCCGGAAGCCCCGGCTGGGGGCCCCATCTCTGCAGACGCGCTGGCAGCAGAAGATGGGGGGACTCATATCCTCGAAAGTCTGGGCATTCGCTCTTGTGGCCTGAGGGCTGTTGGGGCTGCAAGCTCTGCAGCAGCAAGAGTGGGGGAGAGCGACTGGGGGGAGCGCTGCGGGGTTTTCGCCAGGAGGCGCTACAAGCACAGCCGGCTGCAGCAGCAGCGGCAGCAGCAGCAGCAGCAGCAACTCCCCAGCCTGGGCACTGACCCCGGTGCACTGCAGGGCGCGTGTGACAGCCTGTCTTCTCTCCAGGGCAGCGGCTTTTGGCCCTTTCTTTCTTGCCTTCTCAGGATGACGGAGACACAGCTGAAGGGAGCCCTTGAGGGTTCTTCTGGGGTCCGTTTCTCTTTCGAGTCCCTGTTTGCAGCGCCGGCTGCTGAGCAGCAAACTTGCTGCGCAGGCAGCAGCAGCAGCAGCAGCAGCCGGTCCGCAGCAAGCCCCCGGCCCCCTGTCTGCAGCGCCTGGGGCCCCTGCTGCAGCAATGGCCTCTGCGGGGGGGCCTCCAAGCCCCTCCATGGCTCCCCAGGCTTCACTCTGGGAGTCATAGCAAATCCCCGGCTTGTGGGGCTGCCCACAGGAGCAGCAACTGGCGGCGAGGGCTGCGCCTGTGTGGAGATGCACCGGCCCTCCTTGTGGATCCCGCTGCAGCACCGTCTGCAGCAACTGCACGATGCACTGTACCGCAGAGAAGACCCTCTTGCTGCAGTTCGGGGGCCCCCCAAGGGCCTCCTGGAGGACTCGCTCGCAGCCGGCACAGGCAGCAGCAGCAGCAGCAGCAGCAACCCGGCTGCGCGCGTCGCTGCGCACCTGGCGAGGCAGGCAGCGGAGCTGTGGCTCTCGTGGCTGCTGCGGCGGCTGCAGCCGCGGCGAGGGGGCCCCCTGGGCCTCGGGGTGAAGTTCGGCGAAGGCCGGAGGGGCCCCAGTGAAGCAGCAGACCCAGCTGTGGGGTCCCCCGCAGCCCTCTCCGGGGGCTCCCCCCTGGCCCAGCCCTTGCTGGGGGCCTTCCCCACACTGCAGCAGGACTGGCTGCGGGCCATGTGGAGCCCCAGCGCGTGTGGGCAGCGCCCGCAGCAGCTGCTGTTTGGGGGCAGCCTGCTGGCCCGGGACATGAAGGCCCGAATGTCTGCAGCAGCAACTTGTGTCTGCTTGGAGGAACTCTTCATGGCTGCTCTCCGCACAGCCAACAGTCTACTTTGCATCATTTCCGACAAAGTTTCCATGGGGGCCCCGGGCGTGGCTGCGTTGGTGGAGGGGGCTGGGGCTGGCGCGGAAGACCTCGCGGGCCAGCAGCGCGTGGCTGCCTTGGCAGCAGCAGCAGCAGCTGCTGCTGCTGCTGCAGACCCAGCTGCCCTCGCGGAAACCTGCGGGGCCTGCACGCTGCAGGCCTGCTGCCTCATGGGCCCCATGGGGACTCCGGGGCCCACTTTGCTTCAGGGCTGCGCCTTCCTTGGGGGGGGGGTTGTGCCGCTGCTGACATTTCTGACCCCTCTGCTGCAGCGGCTCGTGGTGCTCGCGGAGGAGAGCGACCCCACAAGAAGCAGCAGCAGCAGCAGCAGCAAAGCGGGCCGGGCCCTTGTGGGGCTCCCGGAAGGGACGGCGGAAGCTGCGGCGCAGGTCGTGGGCGCTGTGCTGCGGCTGTGGCCCAGCATCCTGCAGCTGGCAGTGCGCAGTTTGCTGCTGCTGCGGCAGCTGAACTCGTGCGTGTCCGAAGACACAGCAAGAGGCTGCCTCCACCCGCTGGTGCAGCAGCTGCTGGGGATCGTCTCCACCACCTCCAGCACTTTGAAGCTGCTCAGTAGCTTCCCCCCTCTCCTGGCCAAGCTGGACCTTTCCCACGCAGCCTCGGGGGCCCCACAGGGGCAGCCAGACGCAGCAGCAGCAAAGGCCCTCGAGTCTCTGCCGCCCCTGCTGGTCAAGGGGGCCCGCTATGTGGCGGCCCAAGAAGGCCACCCTTTGAGGCCCCTCGAAGATGCCCTCAGGTCCAGCGTTTTGCTGCTGCTAGACTGTTCTCCCCGGGTCTTTGAGCTCCAGAGAATCAACGACATCCCCCTGCCTTGCGCCATACAGGACTTTCTGGCGGCGACGCAGCGCCTCCCGGGGGCCCCCAGCTGCCCCCAGGGGCCCCCGGGGCCCCCGGGGCCCCCAGGGCCCCCGGGGCCCCCGGAGCCCCCGGGGCCCCCAGGGCCCCCGGGGACCCAGCTACCCCTGAAGGCTCTCCAGGCCCACAGTCCTGGGGAGCTCATCAAAGGGCTCACTCTCGAGTGCCGAGACCTCCAAAGTTCAGAACTTGGCAGCTTCGCGGGCTGCGGGGCTGACGCTGCAGCTGCCGACGCTCTAAGAGCTGTGGCTGCAGCACGGAGACCCCCTGGGTCTTTTCCGCTGGGAGTGAGCCACCGCGTGGGGCCCTCGGTATGGCAGGGGGAGCATTCTGCTGCTGCAGCAGCAGCAGCAGGGGACACGGGGTCGCAGGGCAACTGCTGCCCCTCGCTGTTGCGGCTGCTGCAGGGCGACGGCGAAGAAGCGGAGTTCGGGCAGCACTTCGCGGGCTTCCACCCGCGAGTTGCTGCAGTGCAGCGGGCAATTGGGGCAGCTCTGCTGCACCTGCTGGGGTACGAGGGGCCCCCGGGCCCCGAGGGCGGGCCGGGCTGCGGGGACCGGCAGGGGGAAGAGACGGAGGCCCTTTTGAACTTGGTGTCTTCTTTGGCGAGAAGAGCTGTGATGCAGCTTCTGGAGAAGTGGCAGCGGAAGAGAGCAGAGCACGGAGCCAGCAAGGAAGCAGCAGCAGCTGCTGCAGCAGAGGCCGACTGCAGCAGCCCCACGCCCCTGGCCTTCTCGGACTCCGACGAATCCTGCGGCGGCGACGCAGCAAGCAGCAGCTCGCCCGTGAGTTCCTCCAAGGCCGAGCGGCAGCAGCACTTGCGGCGCGCAGAAGAAGCCCGGGAGATTGTGTCTCGCTGCAAGTGGCTGCTGACTTGCTACCCCCGGGGCCTCGCGGGGCCCCACAGGCTGCTGCTGTTTCGCCGCTGGGGCCGCCAAATTGTGGGCTGCCACCGCCTGGGGGCTGCAGCCCGCGAGGAGGCGGAGGCCCTCAGCCGCGGGCTCAGCTGCCCGGACTTGGTGGAGGGCTCTGGGGGTGCGGCGCGGCAGCAGCTGGGCTGGGCGCAGGGGCAGGCCCAGCCGCGCCCGCGGCGCGCGGCCTGCGCGGGCCTGCAGCAGCAGCAGCAGCAGCAGCAGCAGCGGGTCGAGATCTCCACGGACCCCGGAGGCCGCGCGCACCTCGCTGCTCAGGACCCAGTTCGAAAACCCTTCCGGGGAGGCAGCGGACTCCCCGCCAGCCTCAGCGTTGCCCGCAGTGTGTACTTGCTGAAGCGTTTTCTGCGCAGCGGCAGCCGCCGCAACAGGCGCAGCGCCTCGCAGCCGTGGGGCCCCGGGGCGCGCACGGCGTCTGCAGCAGCAGCAGCAGCTGCTGCTGCTGCTGCCGGCGCAGGCAACTGGAACGCAGAGGGGGCGGGCAGGAGACTCCGGAACCGAAGAAGCAACGGCCTCCTGACCCTCCCGCCGAACCTCGTGGGGCTGCAGGGGCCCCAGCGGTGGCGCTGGGGGGCCCTCAAGAGGGCCAGCGAGCCTTCGAAGTCCTGGAAGTCCGAAGCCAGCGAAGGCGGCGTGGCGTCTCTAGTGAACTTCATAATAAACGGCGCCGACGTGCAGACCACGCGGCGGGTGCTGCTGGTGGAACAAATGTCTTCGCTGATTCGCTACGTCATCCTGCGCAGCATGAAGGCGCTGCTGGTTGCTGGCTTCTGCACTGCAGGGCTCTCTGCGCCTTCTTTGCTGGACGTGGGCACCCAGAGGTCCCAAGAAGGCCTCATGTCTGCTGCTGCCACGCAGCGGCTGCTGCCAGTTTGCAGCCTCCGGCCCAGCCTGGGCAGCTCGGACTTGCTGGGGGAGGGCTCCACCGGCGCTCGCGAGAGCTTTGCTGTCCCCGCGGACTCTTCGAAGCAGCTCGCGGCCCGCAGCAGCAAAAGGTTCGACACAGCCCCGCCGGCTGCATGCGCCGGGAGGGCCTACGGGGGGGCCCCCTCCGCCCCCTGCGGCCGCTTCTCCGGGGGCCTGCAGCAGGGGCTGCAGCAGGGGCTGCAGCAGGCGCTGCAGCCCTGCAGCACGGCCGACGGGGGCTTTGCGGGCGAGGGCCACGGGAGGGCCCTGGAGTCTGAGGGCAGCGACGTGAGCTGCAGAGACATCAGCTGCACCACGGCGAGCTCCGAGGGCGGCAGCGCGCTGCAGCAGCTCGACGGCGGAGGCCGGCAGGCCCTGCGGTGGCCCCTCATTGTGGAGCTGCTGCTGCCCCTGGCGGGGGCCCCCAGCGCGAGAGACAGCGGCGGCAGGGGGCCCCTGGCAAAGCCCCCCAGCGGCACAGCCAACAGATACGCGGGCTGCCTCATACTGCGGCTGCTTCACTCTTTGGGCGTGTCTTTGCTGGGCTCCAGCTCCGCCTTTGCTGCGCTGCAGAGAGAGGGCTTTTCCAAAGCAGCTGAGGGGGCAGCCGGCCTCATGAGCACAGCAGCTTTCTGGAAGTTTCAGCCTTTTGCAGACGCGCTGCAGGCTTCTTTGGGAGAACTGGTTCGGTGAGCTCAGGGCTTGGAATCGAAGACAGCGTCAGAAGTGCTTCAGTTGCTGCAGAATGGTCTGAGGCCGGCAGCGCTGGGCGCTTCATGCTTCCACAGAGTCCTTTGAACAGCAGCTGCAGCAGCAACAGCGATGTTTGCCTTGGCAGCAGCAGCAGCAGCAGCTCCACTAGCAATTTTCCCCTGCAGCAGCAGCTGCTGCAGGGGAAAATTTCCAGTGCAAATGCGGTTTTTGGTGCTTTTTCTCAGGATTGTTTTCGATCTGCACCTTCACCGCCACATGGAAGACATGAAGGCAATGGCTTTTCCCGCGGCCGCGGGTGTCTTTACACTGCATCCTGCGGACTGCTGCTGGATGGACGCAGAGCTGCAGCTGCTGACGCTGCAGCTGTGTCTGGGCACAGAACCACTGGACCACAGCAGCTCGATTGTGCTTTTCCTGCAGCACCTGCTGACTCTTGCGCACCCGGTGGCGCTGCGCCTGCTGTCAGCAGACCGGAGAAGCCGGGGCCTTTCTCTGGAGGCCTTTTTAGCGCGGGAAGTTACGGAGGAGATGGCGCATGCATCGGGTTGCTGCCGCGGTTCGTCGGCGGAGGCGTTTGCTGCAGCAGCCGCTGCTGCTGCGACGAGCGGGAGAGGGGCGGCAGCCGCTGCCGCCGCCGCAGCAGCAGCAGCAGCAGCAGCTCAGCTGCCGTGGCAGGGCGAGAAGCTCCTGTTCAAGCACTTTCCGGGGTCTCTTTCTTCACTCGAAAGATTCAGCTCGAGCCCCTCGCCCAGAGCCACCCACCTGCCGCTCGCTGCCGCTGTCACCCGCGTGGCCGTGCGCTGCTGCGACAGCCGCCGCTGGAGCTCCGACGGGGGCCTCATTCGCCAGGGCTTTCGGGTGCGGGAGAAGGTCAGTTGGGGGGGCTGGGTGGTGCTGCTTTACCTGCAGCGCAGGCACTTGGCCAGCCCCTTCGCCCTGCCCCTCAGGGCCATTGAAGGCTTCCGCGCCAAAGACGGAGGCCGCGAAGACGGCGTCGAGGTCTTCGACGACATTTCTGCAAACCCTGCAGGCCCTCTTCTCTTCTTTTCCTTCGGTGCGTCAGCGCCCGGCGCCTCTGTTAGCACTGTTTTTCTTTTAGCTTTGTGGCGAGCTTTGTAATTCATTTAAATGCTGCTGCTGGGCCCATTTCTTGAATCCGACTTTGCTGTTTCCCTCCGCTGGTTCTGCTGCATGCGCCGTGGGAGGTGCATTTGTCGTGTTGTTTCGCTGTCTTTTGCTGAGGCTTCTTTGCTTTTGAACACAGCTAGCCTCTCGTTTGCTTCTGCCTTTTCGCTGCCGCTTCTCCCCTCAGGCAGCACAGCGGGAGAGCCCGACGGCAGCGAAGACTCAATTGCAGATGTTCGGCTGCAGCTGGAGGTGCTGGGGGACCCCAGAGAAGGCTCCGGCGGCTCGGCCTTCAAGCCCGAGTGCTCCACTTTGCAGCAAGAAGGCTTTGCGCTGGAGAAGTCAATTCCTTTTTCCCGCACTCTGTGGATCCACGTGTGGGCCTCCAAGGGCCTCTTAGTGTACGAAGGCCCGCGGGGCTGCCCCGAGGGGCCTTCTGGGAAAATGGACTACCGCTGCAGGCCGGCCCACACGGCGGACAGCAGCTCCGCTGTTGCTGCACAAAGAGCTGAGGGGAGCAGCGAGGCCCCGAAGCTGCCCTGCACGAACTTGGGGGGCCCTGGCTGCAGAGAGGATGACGGCCTCTTCTGCCTGCAGCGGGAGTCCGTGAGCGTTTCGGAAGCAAAGGCGAGAAATGCTGCAGCGCGGCAGTGTGAGTACGAGGGCGCGGGCCTCAAGCTGCAGCAGAGTGCGTGGCAGGCTTTCCAGGCAGCCCTGTGGTTCATCCTGGTAGGCCCCGATGACCCTGTTGCTGCGAGTGGCTCTCCGGTTGCTGCTGCTGCGCCGCTGCAGCGTGGCGGTCTCCAGTCCCCCCAAGCCAGCAGCAAGCTCCCTGGCGAGGCCCCCACAGCTTCAAGCCTGCACGGCACTCTGAGGCGCGAGGCCATTGCTGTAGAGGCCTTGAAGCTGATCTTCAGCACGCTGCAGCGGCTGGCGGAGCTGCAGGAACAGACTCTGCGGGAAATGCACCGCAGCAACAGCCTGGGGATTCGCAGCTGCGCGGACTACCCGCAGATCTACCGCAACTTCTTGTGCGGGATTTCCAGAGGAGAGGGAGACAGGTACAGCGACGAAGAGGGAGGCAGCGATGTGGCTGCGGGCAGCCGGGGCACCAGCCGGGGCAGCAGCCTCGCTGAAGGGGACTCAGCACTGGCAGAAGAAGAAGACCAGAGCGTGCCCACGAGCCCACCAATCCCCGAAAAGCTCTTGTTCACGGAAAGACTCATCGACAGGAGCCTCTGCGTGCTGCTGCGCTGCGTCTGCGCCTCGCACTTCGCTGCACGGCTTTTCGTGCGGACTCTCATTATGGGCTTCAAGGGCCTCCCGACGCAGCTGGAAACCGTTTTGCGCACTTTGCCGGTGAAGACGCATTTGTACAAACTGCTCACGGAGTGCACGCGGCGCATGTCTGCAGCAGGAGTTGAAGACGAAACGCAACTTGCTGCCTTTTCCGCCATGGAGCCCCCCCAGTTGTGGACTTGCCGCCAGCCCTTCTCACGAGAAGGCTCCGACTTGGCTTGCCGCCTCTTTCCGCCCCTCCAGGCTGTCAGTCTTGGCACTCTGCTGGATGCCGCGGGGTCTCTGGTGCAGCTCCACGAGGACTCGTCCGAGCCTGCCCCTGCACAAGAGAAGCAGCCATTTGGAGCCGAGGCAGACGCAGCAGCGCGGCCTCCTGAGGCCAGCAGCAGCAGCAGCAGCAGCAGCAGCAGCAGCATGGGCGCGGCCGCCCCGGGACCGCAGACGCCGCTCCCGGCCCCGCAGGTGCAGGTTGTAGGGGCAGCCCCGACTGCGGGTTCAGCCCCGCAAGAGGGAGCCGTGCAGCAGAGCAGCAGCGCAGGGGACTCTTCGTCGCCTTTGGCAGCGGCGGGTCGGGGGGCCCCCTCCTCTGGGAGGCGGGAGGCCCCCGTGGGCGGGGCCCCCGTTGGAAGCGTGGGGGACAGCGTGTTTGACCCTCTGCCGCAGTCCGACGTGTTCCTGTGCGCAGTGCCCTCTGCAGACTTTCAGGCCGAAGTGCACGGGCGCACACTCCACGTGCTAAGGGCGCGGAACCTGGGGGGCGTGGCCTTGTGCCGGGCCCCGCTGACCTTCCCGGCGCTGCAGGTGGAGCCTGGGGAAGCAGCAGACGTCATCGGCTTCCGAGTCTGGTCTGCAGGCCGTTTCGGAGTCACTGTGGCCCCCGCGGACTGCGTGTTGTCTGCGGCGCAAGACATCTTCGACCGAAACGACGTGGTGGGCTTCCGCACCAGCAGCTGCCCGCCTTTCTGGGAAGACGTTTTCGCCACCACTGTGTCTTACCAGCCGGGGGACTACTTGAGCGTGAAGTTCTCAGTGGACAGCCAGACAAGTGGCCAGCGGTGCCTGCACACAGAGCTGCATGTCTCTGGGGAGAGCATTGGCTCTGTGTTGGAGGTCTACTATGACCAGCACTCGCAGGTGGACCAGCCCAGGCGAATGAACTTAGTCTTTGTCTTCCAAGACCCCCTCACTGTGGTCTACGGGGGCCCCGAGTTCACGCTGCAGTACGTCGACCCAGACGAAGACCGCCAAGCCGGCCCCTCGCAGGCCCCCAGGGAAGAAGCTGTCACTGGCGAGGCCCTAGCCCTCAAGCCCCCCTCGCAGCAAGTGCTTCGCTGGCTGCGGGTGCACCCCCTTGTGAGACAGAGTCTGGAGTTGTACCAGGCGGTCATTCTGGCCTCGGAGCGGTCCCTGCTGGGGGAGCGGCGGAAGGTGCTGCAGCAAGTGGGGGACATTTTGAACGAGGCTACCATTTCTTTGAGCACTGCCTTCGAGTCCCTTTGCGCCAGTTACCACGAAATCGTCAACGAAGGAGCCACTTCCAGGGGGACACTCGAGAGGGGGGGCAGCGTCCAGCTGCCCATAAGCAAAAGAGTCCAAAGCAAACTCATGCCCGCCGTCTCGAGCAGGGGCCCCCCGGCGGAGCAGCTGGAGGGGGCCGAGGCTGGAAAGCCCGAGGAGGGGCCCCCGGAGCCGAGGAGACAGACCAGCACTGGCCTGAGGCCCTGCCCATACCAGCAGCAGCAAAGAGCAGCGCGGGCGCGGCTGGAGACCATCCACGCCTGCAGACGGGGGGTTGCTGCGCTCGCAGTTATTTGCTGCGACTCCACTGGCCGCGGGGAGCTGCAAGAAGTCCTCGCAGTGGCGGAGAGACAGAGACTTCCTGGCAGCACGGACCCCGACGGCATCCACCCCTCTGCAACAAGTGCAGCAGCAAGTTCAAACAGTTCTCGAAAAGGAGACAGCGTGGGGTCTGGCGAGTCCGGCCTCAGCTTGCCGTGGCTTGTGAGCACTTCGCCTCTGAAGTTTTCTTCCGTCGTGGGACTGAGCCCTGAGGAGTGCGAGTCCATGTTGATCTCTCTGTCGGACCTCTTGACTTCACCAGTGGTCCAGGGGACTCTTCACCAGGTGGCTGTCGTGGGCAACTTGGTGGCCCCCAGCAAGGAGTGGGAGACAGTGCAGGCCTTGGCGGTGACTCTGGGAAGCAAGTCAATAGTAGCTCTTTGTCTCGTTTTGAGAGTCATGCTGCAGCAAACTCCCGACGGGGACCCCCCCTTGAGCCGGCGGGCTATCAAGTGCATCCAGAGGGTCTTTGCTTTCATGGAGCAGTTCTGCTTCCTCACCTCGGGACTGGGGGCCCACCAAATGGACCCTTTTGCAGACGATGTTGCTGCTTCAGAGGAGACTGTCCCTGACCAGGGCCTCCCCTATGCAGCCGGGGCCTCTCCGCCAGAAGTGGCCCCCTCGCGAGCCCCGCAGCCCCTGAATGTGCGCTCGGCCAGCGTGCCAGACCTGCGCTCAGCCATTGCTGCATATTCCCAGGGAGGCGAGGGGGGCCCCGCCCTTGGCAGCCCCGAAGTGGAGGAAGGGGCCCCTTCTCGGGCGGCAGATTCGGAGGCGGGAAGCGCAGAAACGGAGGTGAAGTTGGACAAGATGGCGCTCCTCTGTGGGGTCCCCGAGAGCATTCTGAGCGCCGAGGGGCTCGGCTGTCCCAGCATCTCCGGCCAGGCCGTCTTGGCGGCGGGGGAAACTGCCAAGGTCTGGAGGTGGGTCTACAAGATCAACGAGGCCTGGAATGAAGCAGTGGAGACAGCCATAGAAACGGAGCTGTGCGGAGCCCCTGCTGTCCCTAACACAGAGGCCGACTGCTGTCCAGGACCCAGTGTGGGCGAGGCCGCGGGCTTGCAGCGAGTTGAACAACTAATAGGGAGGGGCTGGGACTCTCGCATCACCAGCTTGCTGCTCCTCAAGCCGAGGCAAGAAACTGGGAGCATACATTTGAGAGGCCCTGTAGATGCGCGGGTGTTCAACTACGAGGGGGCTTGTTCCATCTGGTCTAGCCGCATGCTGCACCGATTACTGGAGACCCCCTTGAGGTGGGCTCTGAGACGAGATGCTCTTCACCTCCTCTGCATTATTGTCTCTCTCTGTCCCGAGATGATCATGGAGCGCCTCTACAGGTAAGTCCCTGTACTCACACTTGGGGCTGCTTCTGGCTTCCCGCCTGGCCCTAGCATTTTCTGAGTTATTCAAAAAGGCTGGACTGCCCGGGGCAAAGCTTGGGCAGCCCGCTAGAAGTTTCTGTGTAACAGCTGTACAGGTTTCTCATCATTTTACTCCACATGCTGCAGCACAGTTGATTCGTCTTCGCGTTTTTTCCTGTTTTGTCTTCTCTGTCTGCAGGGGCATCAAAGAGCCATTGGCCTCGCGCTGCTCCGGCGAGTCGCGGAAGGGAGCGCCCCGTCCGAAGGCCCTCAACCTAATTCGCCTTTTGCGCATTTGCACGTATTTCATCAGCAGAGAGACAGATGACAGTGTGCCTGACTACCAGCAGCCTTTCCGGTTTCACCTGGACTCAGACCCCACGAAGACGCTGCTGACCGAGCTGGACAGGTACAGCGTGGTGACTTGTTCTTTGTATGGGTGGCAGCGGCTGATGTATCGGGCGGCCACGAAGTGGACGGACACAGAGTGTCTCAAAAGTCTGCACCGGATGCTGCAGACGGAGCTTTTGTACCACCTGGTGGGGTCGGTGGCTCAGGTGGTGAGCAACGCCTCCGTTTCAAAGAGAACGCCCAAGTACTGCGCCCTGGCGCCCTCCGTGTACGTAAGCCACTGGCTGATGGATGGATTCATAAGACACCCGCTGTGCCCCGGGAGCATCCGCCGGGCAATTGTCAACCCCTTGAGCTACGCGGCGCTCTTTGGGCTGCTGATCAATGGAGTCAACTTGCCTCTGAAGCTCGGGCTCGACGCAGCCAGAATGACCCACTGGATGACTGCTCGCTTTGTTCCCGATATCTCCTTACTGAACGGCTTATCTGCAGGTGCAGCTCCTGAGGGCTCTTCGGCCTTCGGCAGCGACAACAACCTCTTTTCCTACGAGAGGCTTAGTGAAGTCACAGGCGTCACCGCGCCGCCATCAGGCGAGGCATCTGCGGCGACTTCTAAAGCCGTTAAGACTGCAGTAGCGGCCGTTGGGTCGTTTGCACTTGCTGGCCCTTGTCGGCAGTTCTTGGGCTTTCTGCAGTGCTACTTCGACTGCATTTGCTTCATCAGCGCCTCGGTCTTTGACAACTTGGAGAAAGTCAACAACTGGCGGTCTGCCAGCCTGGACTGTTTCTGCGCAACAGATCTCAACAGAGTCCACGTGCGGTACAGAATCAACTGCAGCCTGCTGACCCACTACCTAGCCAACGCCTGCGTGTCTATCCTGAAGGCGGACAGGTGGGGCTCTGTCACCTGGGTAGAGCACACGAGTGTTCCTGTGCTCGCGGATCTTGCCTCTTACCTCATGGCTGCTGAGTGCGTCGCCAGAGTCTCGTGCTTCAGTGCCCAGGCGCCGCCTGCGCCCCTGGCGGCGTACGCGGCTTCCAGCAGAGGGGAAGGCCAGTCTCAAGAGGCGGCGCCGGCAAACAGCGGCGGCGGCGAAGACACAGCTTGCTTTGCCAGTGCAGCTTTCTCGGCCTCTGCGAGTGACCCTGGGCACTTGGGCTTCTCTCAGCCTTTCATCAGAGCAGTCCAGGCTTTGCCGGTTTCCGTGGCTTTTGCTGAGCCGGTCAGCTGCACCCGCGCTGTGGGGAGCGTCGAAACCTTTCCCGGGGCCCGTTTGGAGTTGAATTTGGAGCCACTGGAGGAGGGCCATCAGCAGGGCACTGACGGTGAGCCTCAATCTCGGGAAGAGAGAAGCGGGGTGGTCCCGGGCAGCAGCCAGGCATGGGAGCTCAGGAAGACTCCACGGCTTCTCGTCGCCTTGGATCGAAACCTTGAGTACTTGGTGGGAGAAAGCGGCAACCTAACCGAAACGCCAGAGTGGATATGCGTAGCAGCGTGCAACAGCGCAGGCCAGGGCAAGGATAACTTGAGGATGACACTTCTGCAAGCACCCCAGGAAGATGGCAAAAGAAGCTTTGGCGGCCGGACCCGTTTGGAGGTTTCAAACCTGCACGGCACCTCAGGGGGCTCTAGCTACGCCTGCAGCAGCGTTCCTTTGCAGTGCGGCAGCTCTTCCGCCTCCTGCATCATTTCCTTAGCAGTGCGTTCTGCCGGAAATGACAGCTGCAGTTTAAAAACCATTGAAGATGGTGCCCCCCTGGGCCGGATCTTCATTGGGGCTGTGGATTGCAAGCACTGGGGCCGTCTGTTGGAGGGGACTTGGGATGGAGTCTCAGACGCAACACTGGTGCAGCTTACTGCAAGGGAGCTCAGATCTTCCTTCCACCCAGAGATGCCAAGCCGCCACTGGGGGCCGCAAAGCCAGCGAGTCCGCAAGAGTCGACCGTTGCTGGCCGTCTTGCTGGGGATGCACGGAGACTCTGAAAAGACTTCTCGAGCCCCTCATAAACAAGACGGCCTGGGGCTTATGGCTCAGCCGCACAGGCTAAACTTCGTGCTGCGGGCGGTTGGGCGCCACTTGCTGTGGTTTGCGGAAGACCATCTCGTCGCTGCGCAGATGCTGCCGCCATCATGCACTGCTGTTGTGCCTGTGCTTGTCATAGAGGAAACTGCTGAGTTCTGTGCCTCTCCTAGGATCTGCTCTCTTTGGGAGGGACTTGTCTTGACGGCCACGTTGTCCTCAGTTTCTTGCCGGCCCGTCACTGTTCCCACGAACGAAGTCTTCTATTGTCTCGAGGCCGCGCCCGCCGACACTCCTGTTCGCCTGCTGAATCCCTTTGGAATCCAGTCTGGCAGGCCGGAGGGTTTGACAGCAGCAGGAACAGACTCAGAAGCGTCTGCAATATTGTTCCATTCGCGAGCTAGTGGGGATTCCAGGGGTCCACCAGACAGGGCGGAGGACTCTGGGTTATTCAGACTAAATTTCGCTCCCAGTTTCGCAGCGGGGGTTACCTCTGCCCCTTTAGACACATCAGGCAGCAGCAACTCTCTGAGCAGCACGTGGCGCGTCTTGGCACTTCACCCAAAAATCCGAGGAGGAGTCAGTGTGCGGCTCCCTGTTGGGGCACCCTCAACTTACTCGTCGTCTGTGTGGAAGTGGGTGCGGCGGCCTGACTCAAGCCGGGTTCCCACAGAGGAAGGCCTCAGCGAGTTTCCCTTAGAAGACCTGGAGGCCGCGAGGGCTGTGGCGTCCACTGGCCAATGTACGACGGACTCCTGGGATGTTGGCATCACAGCGGACTCCCGCCAGATTAGCTCCGTCACCGCCTTCGGGGACCTGACAAGCGGACAAGGGGACCCCCCCACCGCTCAGCAGCTGGGGACTCCTGCTGCTCCCGCTGCAGCAACCACAAGAGCAGTGCTTTCGCCGGCTCCCATAGTGGGCCCTCGGCCTGCCCGAGGGTCTCCCTGCACTCTCAGCACCCGCCAGCAAGGCCTTCCCAGCAGCGTGAGGACAGAGCCGCAGGACTGTGGCTTTGCAGGGGCCCCGCTGGACGTGGGCACTGTTCATCCAGCGCTGCCTTTCCGCGTGCAGTTTAAGGGAAACTGCTGGGCAGGAAGAGCAGCAGGGCCGCAGATGGTGGGAATTGTCTGGGGCTACTGCCGTTGGCTCTGGTTTTCTAACGGCCGGCTCTCTTGCCCTATAGATTTGCCGCTAGGGGAGCTCATGCGGTCGCATGCTGGAGGACCTCCTCAAGTCAGTCGGGGCCCAAAGATCCCTACAGAAGGCTGGAGAGAGATACAACTGAGTCGGGGAGTCTCGGGCTTTACCACCAGGGACACGTTAGAGATCGAGTTCCAGCCAGCCATTCCGGCGCTTCTCTTCAAGAAGAACGACGTCTACCAATTCGGCTTCAATTTCGATAAGTTCTACCAATGGGCGCCAAGCCGTGCTGCCCGCTCTCTACAGCATCAACAACACCTTGTGCAGCAACAGCAGCAGGTATTAATGCAGCAGCAACAACAGCTACAGCAGCCACAACAGCAACAGCAACAGCAACAGCAGCTACAACAGCAGCAGCAGCAACAACAGCTGCTGCAGCTTGCCGGGAGCCCTTCAGCCAAGGACAGAGAAACAGTGTATTTTCCTCCCGTGCGAACGAGAAGCACTGAGTTGGTCTCAACATGTAACACAGGGGGCTTCAGGAACTTCACGTTTACTAGTACCCCATCTTCAGCTCGACTCTCGGACTCGCATCAGGGGACTGTGCATGCGCTTTTCCAAGCTATTAAAGAGAGGAACCTGCGGTGGCTCTCCACCTTTTTTTCACAGTACCCAGACTGGCTCGAAACGCAGGATGCAGCAGCCACCCCGGGCAGCTGCACATTTGGCTCTCTGGAGCAGCAGATGTTCGTATGGGCTAATGGCAGCAGCAGCACCAGTACCGGCAGCAACGCCCAGTGGCAAAGCGAGCAGCTGCAGCAGCACATCTCGGCAGTGTATGGAGAGTATGAGAACGACACGCCCCTGAAACTCGCAATAAAGAAAGGCTATGCAGATGTTGTTCAGGTGCTGATTGAGGCAGGAGGCTGCAACCCGGATGGGGTGGGAGACGGCAGCGAGAGGGTGACTCCGCTGATGTTGGCTGCTGAGCTGGGCCAGGATTTAATTGTCTCAATGCTTGTGTGCAACTATGGGCTTAACATAAACCGCAGGGACGCAGAAGGAAACTGCGTGCTCCACAGAGTGGCTCTCAGGGCTGCTGGGCAGCCCCTCTCAGGAGGAAGACTTGGCTCAGCGGTGCCGGCCTACAGACGCAGCTACTACAACACAATTAAGCTGCTGCTCTCTCTCGGGGCGGACTGTTCTCTGAAGAACGACGCGGGCCTTACCCCCGTGGAACTCATCGGTTCCAAAGGTGACGGCTTCCAGGAGGGGCTAGAGGCGCTGGCGAGACTGTTACGTTACGCTGCGCTTACAGCTCAGCTGCAGCAACTGAGCCTTGCGGCAAGTGCCACGCCAAACTTTCCGAAGTTTGGCGGGGCTTTCCCAAAGGTCAGAGGGGCGGAAGCATGCATTCCGTGGAGGTGGGGCTCGCTGCTCGCGAACTGCACTGTGGTGGTTGGGGGAGTTGATGAGGTGGCATTCGGCATCCACAGTTTGTACATTGACGGCGAGCGTCGCGATGCGCAAATGAACGAATCCGAAAGGTCGCCTCGCATGGCAGCAGAGTGGCTTTGCGGGACTTCTTATGCGCCTTCGCCTAAGACAGGGCGGCCTTCGAGTATCCCTCGGTCTTCTGCGGAAATGCGGGGTCAAGAGACTCGAGGGCAGGTGGACGTGCGAAAGTTACCTGCGCTGAAGCCCTCTTCGCAGCCATCGAGAAGCAACACTGGGGATAGCGTAGAACTGCCAGGCATGGGTCATTCCACTAGAGCAGGCAGGACCTCAACGAGCCTGGTCTTGAATGGCTCAGCGTTGGGGACTCAGGCTCACCCCCGTTTCTTCGGTGGTCCATCAGGAGCGATAGATGGCAACTTCGGCTTACGGACTTCTTCAGGTTCTAATTGTGTCCAAGTGCCTTCCTCGCTCTTGCGGCCCGTAGATGGCAACTTGCCCTTGGCAAATGCTGATGTGCGGACATTGCTGCAACAGCTTCTGGTGTGGGGCCTCGACCTGAATGGGGACTTGACGGACCCCGCTTGCCCAGAAGGCCAGCCAGCTCCTCTCCGCCCCCCCTTGCCGGCCCTCTCTGGGTCTCTTCTGCGCAGCATTTCCGTGGCGGAGGACTTTGGATCTCTTCAGAAAGTGTTTGTGGCAATCCTAAGGAGACTACAGGTTCTGGAAGAGCACCAGACAACAGAACAACGCATGCAACCTGGGCAGCAACAAGCAAGTGCTTCGCCTCGAGGCCCACGCGCCGTCCCTGCAGTTCCCCGGAGATCTGACGGCTCCCGTCACCGATACAACAGGGGCCGGCAAGCTCCCACTTCTTCGCAGAGCAATGGTCTTCAGCGCCTCGTTGCATGCGCCGAGGCTGCTGAGAGCGTTGGAGACCTCATTAGTCTGCTTCTGCCTCTCGATACAGCCGCCGCAAAGATAGAGGGATGCACTCGCCGGGGTTGGGTCGATGGAGTACAGCGGCACATGTGGCGCCAGAAAGTTGCCAGAGATTCAGGTTATCAAATAGCCTTGGGAGGACCAGGAGGCCTTGTGTGGACGCCAGACATGCAGCTGTTCGAGGAAGTCACGGGCATGCAAGTGCATGAGGTTCCTTCGCTGTTACTTCAGGAAGGAGTTTCTACTGGGAGCTTGGGCATGTTGATGGTGAGATCTGTTCTAGACGCGGACGATGTTATCCTGCAAGCAGTCATGCGCATTTGGCCACCGAAGTTTGACATCTGGCTTAGGCAGTTGCTCGACGTATTTGACGGCCTGGAAGAGGGCAGAAGTGTGCCCCAACCAGATAAGCACATGCGCATCGCAGCTCTCATCTGGAAGGCAGACAAGGATCGCGACAGCTTCTTAGCTTTAGACAGCAGTTGCGGCTCCCCAGGAAAGAAGCGGGATTCTTTAGAAGAGATCGAGCAGGCTGCCGCACTCAAAAAACAAGTTCTTGCCCTTGTGAGTCTCCTGTCCCTCTGCAAAGCCTTGCGGCTTTGACGAAGTCACCCATCTGAGCTTTACTATGACCGTTGCGCACGTATCGCTGCCCCTGATTTCTGTTTCAGTGTTTTGCCGCTTTAAATCCACTCCTGTATTGTGGGCTCCTAAACTGCAAACGGAGCTGTTTAACCTTGATTGGAACTGCATTGTGCGCTTGTGTGTGACGCGCAGATCAGCGAAGCCTCGTGCGGTGTGACTCCCGCCTCATCCGTCGAGGTGCTACTGCAGCAGGTCATTGGCTTGAGATTACGGCTACTGGAACATTTATGTTCCTGTGCCAGTGGCGCTGTGCCCATCATCGCACCGGTTTTCAACATCCCCAAGCTACCTTTAGATTACTATGGATTACTGACGGCTCATTCTGGCGTGAGCTTCCTCCGAGGCACCATTCCGACTCGTCTGGGGGACGGCAGCTTAGGGGTTACAGAGCTGCCAAAGCGACGGTCATACAGCAGCAGCAAAATGGTGTTGCAGGTGGGCCCATCCGACTTGCCTATAGAAATGAGCGCCTACCTCTTCCTTCGTCCGCTACTGACAAATCTGACATCCAGCACTTTGTGGCGCAACATCATAGAAAAGCTAGGATATTCAGGCCGCGAGCAGCCCTCTTTGAAGCTGGACCGGGGCCAAGCAGCTACAGCGAAGGTCTTGGCGCACACTCTCTGGTACCAGGCCACTGTGCAGCTCCTTTCGGCAGCAGCAAGCCCGTGCAAACTTAGAGCTAGACCTGGAGAGAGACCTTTTCTGGTAGTTTTTCGAGGAGAAGGAGCAACAGATTTTGGCGGCCCCTTTCAAGAGTTCCTTTCCGGAGTAGCTAATGAGGTCATGGGTCCCCTGGCGGAATCTCCCGATGAGCTTCTCCCCACCTTTCTTGCATGCCTGCCGTCCTTTAACTCTACGCATGCCATTGGGCCCCATCAGGACTCCGTAGTGCTCCGCCCTGATCCATCTGCACCGCTTCCAGACCCTTTGGTCTCCGTCTCAGACCTGCTACCACCAGCGCTACCCGATACCTCTGGAGGAAATAATGGTTCGCCAAGTTGCGCGGAAGTCTCACCAGATCCAGTCACGCAGGAACCAGCCCAGTCTGTGGGCTCGCAACCGGATCGCAGCTCACATGCTGAATTCGGCGAGGATCAGCAGAGTATCCGCAGCAATTTAAGTAATGCTCATTCCAGCCCCCCGCAAGGACGACTTCGCCGACAGTTGCACATTGACAGCCTTTGGACATCTGACACCATTTTGGGTGCTCTTCCTTCCCCGGCGCGGCGTGTTCTTCCTCGAGGTCATCGGGCTGAAGATGGAGGGCTCCCGGATAGAATTCCTCAGGAGGATCCATTCCAAGCTGCGGTGTCTCGCCGTGAAGAAATGCAAGCAGCGCCCACACCTTTGAACGCAAATGGGACGCTTTCTAGGGTAGAGGAAGACACCGTAACTGAAGAAACCATGTACATTCTCATGTACGAAGCTCTCGGCCGTCTTATGGCCATGTGCTTCTGCATCGGGAGTGCATTCAACGTTACATTGAACCCTCTTCTGTGGAAGAAGCTGGTCGCCGCACCGCTGACTATTGACGTGAGTTACAGGGTCTACAGGCTTGCTAACAAATCAGTGGCGCACCGTTTTGTGAAGTAAATGTACGACCACGTGTACAACCACGATGATTGATGTGCCAAACGAGGTAATTAAATAATTTCCTGTGTTGGCTGGTTGAGTTGCTCAGGATCTGGCTGACTCTGACTGCGTGGCCGTTGAAATGATCCGTTCGCTTCGGCGCATGGCCGCGGTGCCGCCGCAGTACTGGGACTCCACAATGGAGGCGTCGCTATCAGACATGACGTTTAGCACAGAAGATACTCTAGGCAGGTCTTTTGAGCTGGTTGAAGGTGGAGCGAATATCCCTGTCGACGCATTTAACCTGGTTACTTTCATTCGCCTCTCAGAGCGGTTCCGCTTGCTTGAAGGGACGGAAGGTGTTGAAGCCATTCTGCGAGGCATTGCAGCAGTTTTGCCCCTAGGTCGACTGCGACTGCTTTTTGACTGGAGGTGAGGTCCCTCATTGGCGCGCACAAGAATTTTGTTCTAGAAACGACGAACGGGACTGTGCCAACTCCTACTTTTAGAGAGCCAGCTATACAGCCTTCTCGTGTCTTTCTGTCGTGCAATTTGAATGATGCACTTCCTTTTCGTGGGGTGTTCAGGCGACTGGAGCATCGTGTGTGCGGGGACCGCAAGGTGGACGTTGCCAAGCTCAAAGAGCACACGGAGTGCTCATCTGAAAGACTAAAAGGACAACTTTTTGAAATACTCGAGTCGTTCAACAACGAGCAGATGCAACGCTTTCTCAGGCAAGCGGATGTTCTGAGCAGCCTAGATGCGAAATAGCGCGCCCACGAAGTTCCCGTTCAAACTCGCATTGCTTCCTACTGTATCTGAGGAATGCCGTCCAGCAAGGGGGCCAGACACGAAGTGTTTTGGCCTTCATGTAGAATGTTTCTATCTCTTAGCGTGTACGGATGCTTCTGGCTCCATGTGCTACCAGCTCCTGTCATCTCTGGTGCAGTGTATGCGGTTTCTGACTGCTGTCTGCAGATTTGTGTGCGGTCGCTCGCGCCTACCAACCTCAAGCAATGAATGGCGCATGACTGTGGACTACGAAAATCCCGACGTACGAGGCTGCGCATTCCCTCCCGAGTATTTGAGTCCTCTGAAATATTCGAAGCCAGCTTCAGAACTGCAGTCGTTTCATCCTTTCACATGGCACTGCTTCAGTGGGCTTCGCCTAGCAGTTACGAATTCTTCAAATGGACACACCGCCGCGTGTAGCTGTGTATGCTGCTCTTTTCTGTGCTTTCAGCAGCGCCTCCCCGCCATCAACGACAACCGGCTGCCAACTGCTGCCACCTGCAGCTTCCGCCTGGTCGTGCCGCTGTATTCTTCAGTGAGTGTCATGCGCGAACGCCTCCTCTATGCTATCAACAACTGCACTGCCATTGACCTAGACGCTGTCGTAGTTCACGAACAAATGCAGTTGATGTATGATGACTAAATGGACCGCGTTGTGGCGGCCACTTTTATTGTAACCCTTATACAGTGCTGCAAGTCATCTAAGACTGGCGGAATACCCAAATAGTTTTGGACTTGTGGATAACTCACATATCTCATTCAATCGCTGATTAATGATTATAGCGGCGCAGGCTGTGAACCGATAAACCTAAACGTTAGGAGAGACAATACGAAATGGAAGTGGGCAATTACCTCTATGCAGTATACAACCTGAATGCACAACGACAGCCTCAGTTTTTTAACTGTATCCTATCTACAACGCAGATATTGTCGCATCTGAACTATTTCACGACAAACGCCTGAAAACAGCGTTTTAGCAACCATTGGCAGCAGCTGCGGTTTCGTGGGACTCTGGCTGTCTGTGCACTTGGCATGTATCTAATTGTCTTTATAAGTAGCTGCTCTTCAGTTAAAGCGCTGATCAGAGAAGCAACTGACGGACCGTTCGATACTGCCTTAAACGCCGAAACAACGCATGTTCATCTTTTGCACTTGCGCTGTAGTCAAGCTCGCAAGGTAACATACACATTAGTTCAGCCGCTCGCAACCACCCAAGGGGAACTTCCGAGAAGGTATTTGTACTCTGAGCGTCCCAGAGGTAGCACTCGTGGGTCCTGGAGAATGCACTGTTCCAGCTGAGATGGTAGCATTTTTGACGTATCTTGGTAAGGCTTAGGGCAGTACTCTGGTTGCACCGAAGTAAAACTGACAAGGCTCAGTTCGCCTCCGGGGATATAAGGGAAGTTCGCTCAAAGTCAGCGCCCCTTCGTGAGACCTCGTGCTCCAACACAAACAAAGTTTACGATGAGGGACGAGGCTAAATTCAAGGCTCGGCAAGTACTGTTGAGCATTTGCTTTTGAACGTATGAGGCTAAATGTTGAATACGGTTTTGGTAGAATGTCGTGCCTAGTTGCCTCTCATCTTTGCACGTCTCTCGCGTTGCTGAAAAAACACCCCCAACGCAGATGCAAAGACGTTATATTCTTGTCGGCCTCAGTTGCGTCAAGATATGGTTACGCACACTTCACACTAATGAAAAAACAGGAGAAGTGACTGCCTGAAAGCTTGTGAACAAAAGGCGGTTTGTCTCACCTTCTTGCGAAGATCGCAATATACATTATCGAGAGGCAGGTAGAAAAGGAGGAAGCATCCAGCAAACTTTGCGGCGCCAATGGCGAAAGATTTTAGATACTGCGGAATAATAAATCACACAGCACGCAAGAACCACTGCAGATAGGTGCCTCCGCCCTGGAGAATATGTCAAGATGCTGCGGCAATAAGTTGGCAAGGTGAGCCTTTATAGCGCGGGTTCATCTTAATTTTGTAGCAATTGCGCACAGTGTTCTTCATGCCAAATTGTGAGGTCGTAAGAGATCTCGCGAATCCTCTGACTCCTCCGTAGACGGTATTGGGTAGGTACCCTGGAGGGTAGAAGTAGCCATATCGAGAGAAAATTTCAACCTCCCTGCCGGTATAGGGCAAGTGCTGTCCGACATTTATGCGTCCAGGATGGACGTTCACTGATGAGTCCAGAGGAGTCCCTGGAAGCACTGAACCGCGAGTCATTTCCACTAAACCATGCGAGGAACCGGATACTGTTTTTCAAGCAACTGCACAATTTTCTAAGATTTTTAACGGCGGCTGCCTTGTCTGCATTGTGAACTTGAGCATACTGGTCTAGCTGTGTTGCTGAGCGCATGCAGCTTAGTACAGAACGCATGCATAGATAGCAGCTCCTGATGGAAATACCAGTGCCGGTTCATCTTTTTATGGCATGAAAGGGCCATAAATATCATAATTAGTGACACTTTAATATTATTGTGTAACTCTGTGGCATCAGTGCGTCTAGCTCCTGCAGTGTTCTGCAGCGTCACATCTTTGCTCGCTGCTGTGTGGAAAGTTGCTGCATTCCTACAAAAATAATCTAACTCAATACTGTGACATCTTTGAGTTATTCTAAGAAGATATGAGTTTGCCAGAGCAGCAATCCTTTGATAGTTGTGTTCGTTCAAGCGCCTCTGTTGATGAAATAGACTGTTCTGCTATGTGTCAATCCATAGCATACCGCCGCGTCGAAGTATAGCGGGTACTTTCCTGGAGAGTTGTATGCGTCTCCTCAAATGCTTGCACTAAGTTTCTGCGCGGAGCTCCCAGCTCCCAGGTTGGGTAGGTTAAGATCGGTTATTGTTGTGCTTAACCTTTCTGCAGACCCATTAGTAGCCTCCTGACAGGAGGTACTTGAAGAACGTTTCCACTCATCTGAAATTTGATATTGACTAAATTCTTCACTATATATCAACCTGTACTGGAAAACGCCAATGCAAGCTTTCCCCGGGCTCTGATCTTGCGGCCGAGAGCCGAAGACTGAGCTGTAGCTGAGCAAATGTACTTTTTCTGTCAACAAAATGAAGCCTCTGCCTTGAACAGCATTACACAAAACGGGATGCAAACTGAGCTTTTCATACTGCGGAGCTTGCACCATTAAGGACGTCACCTGATATTCTGCAACGCAAGATTGCACAAAACATTCTTTCCTTTCTTCAGCTGTCACCTTCGAGAGCTACCGCAACTGAACTGCAGTCACGATGGCCCGCATACCTACTGAGTGAAGTGAAAAATGGCAGAAAGGGTAACCAGAACAGCAATCGAGCCTAACGGATCCGGCGAGAGAGCTGGCAGCGCCGGCGGCATGCGTGCGTAGCGCTGCAAGCGGGCGCCCTGCTCAGTCTGCGCACCATCCCACTAGATTCCACCCTGATTCAGGCCAGCGCTTTCCACACAACCATACTTTCTTTGACGCAACGTTCAGCCTGCCTGCTGCCGACCGCTCCGATTAAAGTATACGCCTGTGACACTTTTGTCATTAGTTCGCCACCCTACCGGTTATAGCAGTTTCTCACCATCTCGCTAGAGTGGTCTTCCCCAATGCTGAGAGACGACATCTAAGACTGATCTTTCGGTTTGTTTGTAGCATAAGCATTTGCTTCTGGGTGGCTTTGGGCACCGGCAGTCACCGTCAAGGACCGAGTGAGAGCGTGAGTTTTGTTGACTGGAGAAACCATAGGGGCGGCAACTACGCTACAGTGCTGTAGAGCTTAAGGACTGAAATTGTCCCTTTCGTACGTCAAAGGGTTGCAACGGCCTGTGTGTTGCGCATTGCCCCGTTGGCGCAAGCCAGTTGCTCGTGGATTCCTGTTTTACAACAGGACACTTCGGCCTTTGCTTTAGCTAGGGCACCTTTGGACTGAACCTTGACTCGTGTGCGCCAAGAGCTGCTCTTCGTGATATTCTTTGTGCGTAGTTACCACCAGGGCCACCACCTATACCGTTGCACCACCGTGCTAGAGGCTGTTGGGGACAAGAATGCAAAAAAACATTAGAGGGTATCTGAGGCCAGCATAAAGTTATGAACGGCTTGGGAAGGCCAGATGATACTTTGTGCTTCCATAGCTTTTGTGGACTTCATATGCTACTGAAGCGCGTTAGTTCAACGGTGCCTTATGCTCTGCTAGCTGCTTCAAGTGACCCTTCAGTGAGCAATGTTACGACGCATATCTCAAGCTGCATTCCACGCCAACTTCTCAGTCATAAAAAATATTTATTTTAATTCATGTACTTCTAGAATTTTAATAAAATCATTCTAACACGTAAATTTTATAATGTGTGATATTTTTAACCTTGGCCGCCAACAACCAGAAAGAGAGAAAGAATCACGACAGCTAAACGAAGCTCTATAACTATGGATATGCTCACGGCCTCTGCCTTTCCACTCTTGTAACGTTTCCCCTCCAGCGGTGGGATATGCTGCAGTCCCTAAAACTAGAATTAAACCGCTTCTATTTCAATGCTGAAAATATAAATTCAAAACGATTTGCACATGAATGCAGATGCCAACGCTGCGCTCATCAAACTAAGTATCGTCTGACCGCTTCAGCGAAATGGCATTGTTGCATAGAGTCTGGCTCCGTGGTTCGCAAAAGGGCTTTTTCCTTTTCCATGAAAAGTGCCCTCTGCCCAAGCGTGTGCAAGAAATTGGCCAATGCCGTGGAAACATGGTGCTTCCGCTTCTTCAAAAGATATTACATGAGTTAGTTGTAGCAAAAGCCAGCTTGGCATTTGCGATGAGTCACAATGCAGGCTCAACGAAAGCCACAGGCATGCCAGCACTTTCCGGTCCACTTCCTTGCATGATAAACCGGAAAGAGCTACCATATGTCTAGCCTGCAGCGCTACTAGCGCCTAATTCATGACTACTTTTGAAAAGGAGACACTTTGAATACCTTGCCACCTCTACTATAGAATAGGTCTGGATGGAGCTGAGGCAAATTTTGCACCTGCTGCTCGAGGAACACTTCAGTGGGCTCTCCAGCCATCTCCGGGAGCGTCCGGGCTTCAATAGACTTAGCCCACTTCCCAATAAACCGTATAGCCCAGTTCTGGAGCCCTGGCTGTTTTGTAGCTTCGGCTGCCGCCTCTTTGAAGAACTAAAAAAACGCAGAGAGTTGCAGCACCTGGCGGATGCACTTCAAATACGGAAGTTCGGAAAATTACTGGAAGTGGCATGCGGGAGTGCACTTGTTATTTTTCCTAGTGAGACTCTTCAAATCCAGAGGTTCCAGCCCCAAATCGCTCTACAAGCAACTTACAAAAGATAGTAGATGGTAGGGGCAGAGCCCATAACCTAGCTCGAAGGCAGTCTGCTTGTCTGCTGGCCCGCAGTGCCGTCCAAAGGCGAAAATCCAAAAAGGAGTGACCAAAATAGTACGTATCAATCTCCACTGGACTTGGGTGTTCAAGGCAATGTCCAACAGGCGATTCGCAGTCTCAGAAACTTCTTGCAAATACTTTTCTACATAGCTCTACAGGCACAAAACCAAGCACAGTCGCTGGCCAACTCATTTTCAAGTGCGCCGACAGAAGGAGCTAGGCAATACTGAGTAGTTTACAATCGGACTTTGCTGAGGGAACTAAAATGCAGAAAATTTTACGCTTAGTATATGAAGTGCCTATCTGAAGCTACTTTCTATTGCTTTTTTGTCTTCTCCTCCACGTTGCAGAGAGAGAATGAGGCAGCAGTAAGCCGTTTCTGCCTCTTGCTTCTTTTAGAATACAAATGCGACTACAGAAGAGCTTACCTTTGCCTTTGGCTGAAGATGGAGTGATGCAAAATCAGTCAGCAGCTTGCATATATCTTGTACTAAGCTTGAAATTTCCCGCCTGCCGGTACCCTCAGCAATGTCCCGTTGGTTCAGAGTAAAGGAAAAAAGATAGGCCCCTCCAATAAGAAGCCTGAAAATTGGATGGAAATATTCTAACAGGAAAGACCTCAGAAGCGAATCCTAGGCACGCGTTCAGGTGTTTCTGCTGGCTCTACAAGTCAGAAGAAGGCAGTCCCGAAAGAAAGATATAACCCATTTAACTTCAGTACGTACTGTGGCCATAGTACAACTGACCTGTGGATAGGTGGGATCTCGATGCTTAAGAGCCTCCTAAGCTGGAAAAGGAGGTCGGATACGGACTCATGAGGGAGAGGGAGAATCTTGCTTTCGTACTGAGGGAAGTATACCGGCCGGATTGTGGGGCTTGGACATGAAGCAACTGCCTCATTGAACTTTCGAATAAGCTCCGTTGTCCGAGTCCACTTATTTGCAAGTTTTATGAGAGAAAGACGGTATTCGGGCGCACTCTCCGGTGCGATCTCCCTTAAATTGAAATGCGCGAACTTGACCATCGACCTCAGAAGCAGCTCGGAATTCACAGCTTTCTTCATTTCAGCCGTATTCCACAGCTCAAGAATATGAGAATTCTCAACTTCCCGGAGCTCCTGTGAAATGTGAGTCACGCAGTTGTCATTAATTGCCTGAGGAAGAAGCATATATCACGAGCAAACTTGAAATTCGAACTACGTCTAATTCAGTTCAGTGTGAGAGCTTTTGAGTAAACGAACTTAGTCGAGGGCACTTGAAAGCTACCAAACAGGACAACGGCGTGATGTTGCACGCCTGTTAGTCCATAAATAGCTAGATGAGCGCACCTCTTCAAATGTGGCGGGTGGCACAGTTCGCTCTAGATCCTTCAAGATAGTTAAGAGTCTCTGCAAACAGCCATAAAAGAACTCAGCAAAAAACGCCACTTCTGTACAAGCAGTGTGGTTCAAGTGGTTCGTGCAACAGGGACAAAACGGCTACAGGCAATTATGCCAGCTCTTGAAGGTTCAGAGGTGGGGAAGGAGGCGGAATTTGTTCTGGGTCGTTTGACGCAAGATTACTGAAACATCTCGCGCTCTTTCACCAAATACTTCGTCAAAATAATTTGCAAGGCGGGGAGAAAAAACAAGAATGAGAACGCAATGAAACAACGCCTGACAAGCATGCTTGCGCTTGATACAAAGGCTGGCGGGCCAAATGCAAATAATTCTAAAGTGTCCTACCTGGGGACTTTCGGCAGGAAGTGTCGTGGGGACATACCCAAGCATCTGCGTGATACAACAGTCAAACACTGATGCCGATAGCTTTGGGGTCTGCACAACCCTTAACGACAAGCTACAGGGTTCCTAGCAGTGGCTTGGAGCAGCAGCATTCAGTAATTTAAGGCCTTTGCGGGTTATTTGCAAACAAGAACTAGACCCACAGGCAAAGATGGATCAGCCAGGTTCTCGTGGATCTTTTGAACTGCTTGCATTGTGTGAATGTCATCAACTGGCAAGTCCTGAAAATGCATGGAAAGTCATGTCTATGCACACGACCAGCATTGCGTTCAATAAAATCGTTGTACTACTGAGTTGTCCTGCACGTACCCATAAAGCGCTACTGTATGTTGCTCAACACAGTATGGCTCACCTCGCAGCGGTCAACGACGTGTGCGTCCTTCCTCAGGACTACAGTGCACAACACAAATCCCTTTTCTGCCAACCGTCGCAACATATTGTTGCGCTGCAAGAATGATTTCGTACAAACTGAGAGAACATTTTGGTAAGATTTAGAAACTTTTTCTTCAGGCACATCTGCTCCCATGAAAAAAGTGCATGATAGTGAAACCGCAAGAACTTGAGCTTACCGGACTTCTGCAGAGCCCGAAGACGTTTTGTGGAGCCTGCTCTGAGGCTCGACTATATTCTTCATTGTCTATCCCTGTATCTCTAAGATCAATAGCTTGTGCTTTTAAAGGAAGGCTGCCGGTGGCGGAAATCAAAACTTGGTGCTTCTGAGTCGTGTCAAACAAGCTATTCAGTCGTGCATGCTTGTGAACTCTTAACAGTTTGACTTTCGGAGGTCCACGACGTTTCTGACTAATAGTTGGCTGCATAAAACAGACGGAGCCAATCTCTGCAGTGAGCTTTGCTTTCATGTTGGAGAGCCATGACTTGGGTGAGCGGACGAGGAGGTTCCGATGCAGCCTTGAGGCTTTTCGCTTCACTCGCAGCAAGTGCAACGCATGTATCTTAAGTGCCTTCATCAGAGACTCCAAGGAGGCCTTTTCTGGCTCTACAAACCAGTTAGTCGGCTGGATGTAGACAGTAAGTGGGCGAAAGTCGCATCGGTTGAAGTGACAGTCCGAAGCAACGTGCACCTTGTAGGCGTAGGAGATCTAAGCATGCAATATCAAACACAGCAGAACAAGAGAGTTTACAACGCACTTCAGGCAGTTTCTACGAAGCGATCATTCTGCGTCTCCTGTACTTACAGTAACGCGCGGTGGCATCCTCAGAAAAATGCTCTGCGCAAATGGGAAAGTAGAAGACCGAACATGACGTCTACACCAATGTTACGGTAAAGGGGCACGCTGCCGAAGTATCTGCAGCATGCTGTAAAGAAGTATAATTTATGCATTCTTCATCTGAATGCACTACGATCAGTTTGGGTGAGGTGGATTCGTTAAGGGAAAGCTCATGTATCGTGAGAATAATGCTTAGCGCACACATGATGAGCTAGACTGACCTGAGGACCCTCTATTGACTGGAGCACACAGGCAAACACACCAACGCATAGGCCGGCTGTTTCAAAGGACCAAGGAGACCCTAGCATATTGGTGGCTCCTCATCTATCTAGATCGTGCACGCTGGTGTGTTGTGGGAAGAATATCCTGGGGATTTATGTGCTTAGGTGGCCCGTAATGCCCTCACTGGCGACTGTGCCTCGTCACGAGAGGAAAGTTCTTCGGGGAGCTGAACACAAGTGTACAGCAAACGCAGATATTCTACTGCGTGTAATAGAGGGGATCATCCAGTAGACATTCCCATTCCTCTTTCAGGCACTTTACACAACAGAAAATGCCGGCGTTTCCAGAGGAAGCTTGACATACCCATATGGGTTCTTTACGTGAAAGCGTGGGGTACTGAAGGACAGCAAGGCACACACGCATCAGATGAGCGTCTACGTCATTCATGCATCCGCAGTTCAAGTTCAAAAGCTACATCGCTGCATGAACCACAGCCTCTCTTACCAGAAGACTAAAAATAACCTGAAGACAAATACATCGCAAACGTAAAGGCGCGCAGCTGCAAGGTACGAGCAGTACTTCCACTTCTTGCAAAAGTCATGAAGAATCAGCAGCGCATATGACGTCTAACCGGTACGCTAATGACGTACTTTAGGAACACTCGACTGAAATTGTACATCCTTCAGTGAATCCAGAGGGGCCTAGAAATGGACCAAAACACGCACAAAGAGCGAACGCAAGTAAAGCCCCAACTGCACAGGGCTTCCCACCCCAAACTTTGTGGGCTGACGTTTGCTGTGTTTCAATTCCTTAGCAGGGTTTTAGCTGCTTTTGAGGTTAGTAGGCATCCGAACTCACTCGTGGGTCAGTGGTCTCGATAGAAGGATCTGTCGCGAAAAAGAGCACTCTCAATAGATATGCAATTCACTCCTTTGAGCCTTAATAGTTTAATGGCTACCAATAACTATGGCACAGTGATGTTCAACGGGGTTTCAACCAACAATATAGAACAAAAATTAGTCAACTCCCAGGAACGATGAAATGCATGTCGCTGTGCCGGTGAGACTCGGCTGCTTATAAAAACAGCAGCTTGGCCAATAGCTGTGAAAATTGGGGTATTTCGTTTAGTACAATAAGGGGGGGGACGCACCTCTGATTTTCAATAGTCCAAGCTCTTCTGCGGCTGCATTCTCGGCCTCAACGCCGCCGCGGGCCACAGCCCGCAGCACCGTCACTACTCCTAGAATAAGTCCTCGCATTTTAAATAAAGCAATAAATTCGGCCCCATGGACCCAAAGAAGGGGCTATACCCAATAGTACGAGTCGACAGAGAAATACGGCGTCACTGGCACCGAGCCTCAGCCGACGACACTAGGCTGAACGAAGATGGGCTTCTCTGGGTCCGCTCTCAAGCGTTTGCCTTTAAAAACACTCTACCGATAGATCTGTCCTTTTTAGTTAAAAAGTTAGACTTGAGAGGTGCTGTCTAGGGATTTTTGCACTGGTCGCGATCGGGGGCCCCGCTCGACAGCGCCGAACCAAACCACGCCCGTAACAAAACGGCGACCGAAAATGACTGCACTGTTACACTGAAGACCCGTTAGTATGAATTGAAGCAGCAGTGCAAGCTTCAAGAATATTCACTCTCTAATTACATATATGGAATTTTGGAAGTTCCTGAATTTATTTGGACGCGTCCGCTGTATGGCTGCACGATCGTACAAGCCGCCTGCCGCGCAGGCAGTGTAGTTTGGATGCTGTTGCGCGGCACCAGCTGATTGGTTAATTTTTGCGGAGCTTTTTCTTTTTACATAAAAGCGAAATTGGATCATCCACTCAAGCCTGGATTAACTATTGGTGTATGAGCAGTTATTGACGCTCCAGACACGACCTTGCAAGAGCTACTTGTGGACAAGAGGAAGAAGACGCTGTGTTTCTAGCTGTACACACATAATTTCGTTCCTCCCATCCACTAAAATTTATTTGTGCTCTGCTTGCTTCTCGAATCGAGCCATTGGGCTTTTCTAGCTCAGGTCAGCAAATCCCATGCAAACTAGTTTTTCCATCCCTCTTGGACTCATTCCTTTGCAATCTATCTTGTCAAGCAAGTCTGAACAAAAGATTGTTCTATGCCGACGTGGCACTCAAGAAACGGAAAAATTATGTGATTCCGCTCCGGAGGCAAGCAGAGCCGAAAAACAAACCCAGCAGCAACGTGTAACTGAGTACTCAGAATCGATGCATGTCTCCATCTGCAGCCTGGAGCACAGAAAGGAATCTGAGTGCTTTTTGGTGGTGGAATTTGTCTGATGCAGCCCTGTGCTTCCCTTGCCTACCAGCTATACCGCCGCAGTGCGGCGGGCGGCTTGCGACCTTCTTGAAGCTCTGCTTCAAAGGATTGCACAGCCTGTGAAGCCGTAGCTTCTCTGCAGTGCGCTACTATTGTGAGAAAAGCTGCATTTCCCACACCTTGTGCAGCCAGCCGTCTGTGCTCTTCGTTGTTCGCTGCATAGTTAGACTAGGAGCGTCTATCACAGTTGGTTAATACTGTGTGCTAAGTGCACAGTTTTCGTGCCTTACAAAGATAAATGCTGCGGTGAGTATGGGCTTTCTGTGTAAAATTCTAAGAGCTTTGGGACTGAGAAAGTCGGCGAACTGTTTCTTACAGCTTGCTTAAGACTAACTAGCAGTTACGGCAGGCATCTCACCTTGCTACGTAGTATGCGTTTCCTTGCTGGGGTGCATCCTGATCATGGGCCGATATGTGAAGGATACGTCTAAGTTAACCTACTCGCTTCATGAACGGAATGGCTCTTGAGGCAACAAATAAATTTCATGGTGATCCTAATGCTTGTGTTGCCACTTTACATTTTGGTCAGTCTATATTCGCTGCACAGGTATGAGGTGGTGCTGTTTTGTGTATGTCGTGACATATTGGAAGCACACCTGTTTGGGCAGCTCTTCCACCATCTTTTCGTAACAGCTCCACCAAAGCCCCCACAAATTGGAAGAGCGGTTGGCAGATGAAGATATGTAGGCCATTGGAGAAGCTTAATGACCCGTCCTGGTTGTCCCCTCAAGGCCCACGCTTGGTAGATCCCGGGCTCGGCAAGCCAGTCAATCCCAAATCCCTGATAAGTGGTTGGCGCTCCTAGCCAGTTGGCTCTCATAGCTAGTTGGCTTTATGTCTTGTCTGATTGATCTGACTTAATACTAATATTGCATCGTCTTCTGCTTTTTCCACGGAATAGATCACTTTAGGCTCACTATGGGCTTATTGGGGAACCACTGTAATGCCTCTGCACTACAGGCGGGTTTCTGGGATATGGGAGAGCGGCAATGCATAGAGGATTTGGCATGTGCCATAAAGCAGTTGCGCACACCGCGCCAGTAATCATGTTTACTGAGAGCGATGACGGTTTTTTGATACCCACACTGAACCGCGGCAACATGACCATGATGGATATAAGACACGTGCATGAGGAATTCCGGAAACTGCTGCACACAAACCTACCATGTGCCACCGATACAAAGTCACAAACAATGCAACTCAAAACACAGAGCGAGGAAGCGGCTGCGCAACTCGCATCAGCCAGGCTCCGAGGGTGTTCGGCAGCTGCGAGGTATGGCCCTTGGGCATTTCGTATAAGCTGAAACCCGAAGCATCAGCGGAAAATGGTATCTCGCTGCTAGTTTTGTATGCTGGCCTTGGTATTGTGAAGGGCTGTGATTCCACTGAGGGGGAAGGTGCATCTTGAGAAGGCGTACTTTCTGCAGAGGCTTTGTCATGGGCTTGTGCTACCTCGTGCGTGAGTGCGGTGGACATCGGGGCAGTTACGCTGTGCGGACGAGAATTTTCAGTGTGCATATCTACTAGAGCGCGATAGTTTTGGGGTGCCTGTGGATGACATAATGCGTTTGATATTGTTCTGGCCTGACTGCCAACGCGACGAGCATGTAAGAAAGAATGCTCGTATTCACAGTAGGGTGGAAGAGACTATTGAGGTTGGTAAACAAAGCATCTGCCAGCTGGTTGCACATGCCTTGTAAGGGAGTGATGCTCAGACGCTGGATGTCAGGAAGGAAATCTAGCCAACGAGCAGTGCGACCTAGGGATGGCTTAGGTACTTACAAGAGCTGAATCTGTCAATCACCCAGCCCTTAAACACCTGCAACAGCCAAATATATCGAATGGCCTAGTGATTGGTATGCGCTGCAACTTTTGTGCTGCGTTGGAAGTGTGACCACTTGCGAGGAGTGGTGACCAAAGCGAGACGTTCTCGGTCAAACATCGAATACTTATGCTCAGTGGATGTTAGGATCTGGTTGGTGTTCCTGTTCAAAGACTGTTCCTATTGCATATCCGGAAGTATCAGTATATAGCTTGGAAGGCTCCTTGGCGTCATGAACGTATGTGGTGTAATCTATCAGGCATCGCATATGGCGTTGCAAGGCTTGACTGTGTCGCTCTGTCTACAGAAAAAGCGTGTCCTTTCGGGTAAGGTTGAGAAAAGGGCGTTATTGTGGTCCATAAGCGTACGACAGTAGTTGACAGTGTCGAGGAAATGGCGTACTTGCGTCACTCTAATCAGCACTTCTGCCCAAGAACGAATAGCGAATTGTAACCATTTGTCAAACTGCGTATAGCTAACAGTCGCTGTTGCCCAAGGTGGCTCTTCGTCGTCTGTATCGTTCTGTGCAGAGGCTGAGAGCCGAACACGCGGTTTCAGTGTAGGGATCCAGCTACACTGTCTGACCAGTGAAGAGAACAAGGGCGGCTGTGGGTCTTCGTCAGTTACTGCCGCTCTTCGTAGAATTGGAGGGCTGCTGGTGAGTCAATATTTGATAAGGCCAGTGTGACTTTTGGGGCCCGTATGGCTTCACTCAAAGTTACAGTGCTGGCTTTCGTTTGTCGCAATAGTCCTTGACTGCCACCTTGTCATCGGTCCTGAGGTGCTCTTGTATGGTTTAGGGCTAGGGCAGAGGAAGTGGCCGCTTCTTCTGTCAACATCTGAGCTTTTTACAGGTAGACCACGCCAAATGACGTTAACGTCGATTCGGAGCTAATCGGGCTGGAAATATCAAGCTATTTTAGGGGAGGGATACACGGTATAGGTCTACTAGAAAGTTCTCTGGTCTGTTGACCACGTTGGCACCAGTGGCAAATGCTTCAGTTTCCTTTGGCTCTAAAGGCACATTTTTGCAAATATTGAACGCTACTTGCTTTCACCCTGAAACTGAAGAGGGTGGCGAACGGACTTGTAGCCTGTGCTAGCCGACTGCAGTGAGCCAAGAGCCTGTTTGCCTTCACTGTTCTGGCTGCAAATGTTCATTGCATAGCAGTGCTGATTATAGACAACGTCTATATATGGATTCAAACGCCACCATTCCAAGCCAACTTACCAAAGGAGCACATTTATTCTAGCCTGGCCGTTTGGCTCTCGCTGTGTTGGCGCTCAGCGCATCACAAACTCATTGCCTCTTGCAGACCCCAAACCCCAGGGACCAAAGCATATCGCACCGAACTCATCAACCTAAATTCAAATGCCTTTGCATAGTAATGCAAAGGCATTTGAATCACCACTTATTACATTTCCCCACAAGTTGTGAGTTATATGACCTTGAAGGCCACTTTTGAGTTACATCATGGTGATGAGCACTACACGGCAACCCCTGTGGTATTTTGCAACTACTTGTAATTTAAGGCCCACAAGGTAGCGCCTCGTGAGGTTCTCTTTAGAGTATTACCTACCCAGTAATTATAGACCCGTTTTGAGCCCATAATACTGATTCTATCAAATCCCCACTTCAGGCTGGCCTTGTCTTTACCATCCTGTATGGGGAATATTGCCCAGGCTTCCATGAGCATGGATATTCACTTAAAAACATCTACTTTGCTCTATTCCTGGCTAACTACCTAAGGCATTTTGACCTTGCGTTAAACAAGTCTTGCTAAACAGGTTCACTGAGACTGTAATGATTTGCCATAGGGGACTGTGATCTTATACGCTACGCTTCATTATGCTGAGGACATTAGGTTGCTACATTTCTAAATAGTATTAAGATGACTCAGGGCAGCTTAGTTCGTAGATACTTCACAAGGCCCAGTGGTAGCAGCCATATGCTCAGTCTCGAGACGACGGCTCTTTCACACCATGAGTCCGGGACAGCGTGAATAAACACGTGGTGTACAGAGTTCACAGCTTACAACCAATTGAAAAATGGCCTAGACTGCGCCTTGGTGCCATTAGGAGAAAGAGAAGTTAAAAGTTCACCCTGGAGACACTGAACTCTTTTAACCGAACCTACTCCGTTACTGACCACCGAACACATACGAAGAAATGCCAGAGGAACTTTTATCACTCTAGGTGAGCACTGAGACAACAAGAATCATGCAAAGAGCAACGGAAGGCTGAAACAGGGACTGCCTCCACGTAGAGACTTGTGAGACGCACAAGATGCTAGTACTGGAGAGTCAAACATTATCGAAGGCTTTATCGTTCGCGTTTCCCAGATTCTGCCAACGTATTTACTCTGGAGTTAGGGAACGAAACATGTTTCATTTTTCTTTGGGATCTTGATGCACGTTTCGCATCCAGAGCAGCAAGTTTAGGCGAAGATGCACAGCCACAGCCGCGCACATCGCAGCCCCGTTCTCAAAGAATCTGGAAGATTACACATGGAACGAAAAATAATCCTGCAATACTGGGCTATGGAGCACGAGCAAAATCGAGCAATCAAAACAAAGCCGCAAAGTCAAACACACCCGAAAAAAGAACACTTAGTGAGTCCCGCCCCAGCCCGCAGCCACTGCCGCACTGGTGGCCTCGGGTTTACCTACATCACCGCTTTTCCCCGCGCTTCTCCTCCTGATTCTCGCGATAACTAATTCTCCATGCAGATTAATAGATTAGAGCAGCGCAGCTAAAGTAGGCAGAAATAGCTGCACGACGAAAACGGGTAGCCGGTATGAGCGAGTGAGCGGCTCTTCGTTGCCGCTTGTGACGGTTCTCTCGGGGCTTCCTCTGTTCATGCTTGAATCCGACTACGGCCGTCCCACGAATTTTAACTGGGAATAATCAGTTTTTCCTTTGAGCTTAAATACGAAAAACTTTGTCTCCTTGTACATAGGCTCGGGACCCAGCCTCCTCTCCTCTCGCTCCACAGCTCCCAATCTTACCCGCAGCTGCTGCTTCAGAGCTGCGCCGAGACAAAGTATCACTCTCTTTACTTTTCCACTTTGTCTTAAGCCAAACATCCTACCGCATGGCTTGACTAGGACGGACCTCATAACCTTGCGGTGCTGCGCCACTTGGTTCCCCTGTGTCGGGGGAGACGGAAGCTGGCAGGAGGACACAGCGCACGTGCATGCCTCGTAAAAGGGAGAAAAGGGAATCCAGTTAATATCGGAGGACCCTCTCTGGATGATTTCATGCAGCCGATATGACCTCGCCCTCCTGCGTGTTACATCCAGCCCCTGGGGCGCTGGGTCCAGCAGCGTTTTTAGGGCGTTCAGCAGCGAGAGCCTCAGCAGTAGCAGGAGCGCCAGCAGCAGCAGCAGCCACACTAGTAAGTGGAGCGGCGACAGCTAGAAGGGGAAGGAGTTTCCGCCGGTACAGCTTCACGCTTCTTTTCCCTGTTTTTGTTTCCTTGCTTGTAAGCACCATCGCGTATACTGTGGCAGAAATTGCATCCGATGTACCTTCTTCGGATGACGATAGTTCTGAGGCGAGCGGTGCATCAAGTAAAAGCAGAAATAATGAATCTCTGGCCCCGAAGCAACCACCCCAGCCTGGGAGTGGAGTTCCAGTCCCAAGCGTTTTTCAGGTGTCTTCAAAAAATCCCCCTCTCCCCGTCCTTCTGCCTACGCGTGCCCGCAAATCAGCACCTTCCATAGGCCATCGCAGCATCATTACTACCGTACCTGCAAGGCAGACTGTACCCACGGGAGTCTCGGTGCCTCCCTCAGGAGCAGCGGTGGTGTCGGAGGGGCTGCAACCAAATACATTCGGTCGTGTGGGGGCCTCTTTCGGCAATGTATTGGTGCTGACCGACGTGGACGATACACTGTGGTGTTCGGGCTCAATGATGGCGTTTGGAAAACACATTGGCGGAATCGACAGCGAGTTGACCCGTGGCCTGCCCTATCCAGCCATTGGAACTCTGCTGTTCCTCCTGGCAATGGGTCCTCACACATGCACCCCCAGCGGCCTACGCATTCCTCTTGAGCACTGCCTGGTCACAGCATTCCCTCTACACACCCACAATTGCCCATATGAAGTGCAGCACTTCCCACGCCCTTCACTGCTGCCGCGGGGTGCGGGTGTGCTGTCCGCAAGGGCCTCAACTTCCCCTTTGGCCCAGTTTACGCGACCCCCTTCGTTCTTCAAAGACGTCGAGGCGATATTTACCGCAGGGGCGCGGCATATTTACGGTGTAGCGGCCCCGCGGTGGCCCATGGCTTATCAAAACGAAATGAAATTTGCACAAGTGCTCTCCTCGCAGCATTCGCGGGGTGCGGCTAAGGTCTGGGGTTTCGCAGAGGCTATCAGCAGGGGAGGAACTGCCGTTGTTCTGGGCGATACGGGCGAGAAGGACCCAGAGGCAGCTGCAGGCATGGCCATCAGGCATCCCGATGCGCTCGCAGCCGTACTACTCCATGTTGTTTTCTTAGACAGACAAAGGGAGGTGGAGTTGGCCGCTGCAAAGACGAAAGTGGACTTGCCGAAACACGCGATTCATTTCGAAATCAGGTAAGTGTCTAACGAAAATTCAAACTTTTTGGGTTTGATTCAGTCTAAAGATTCAGGGTCCAGGTGAAGGGTCGAAGGCAGCTATAGCGAGGGTGGTTTATGGTTCAGCGATTACTTGGATTCGCTTCATCAACAATATAACTCCTCATGTGTTTCCATGCAGCGTTGCTGGGCGAAAGATTCCTGCGACACAGCTTGTGTACGAGGTGATAGCGAAAGTGCGAGAGGGGGAGGAGGTTTTGTCACCGGGGGACTTGAGCGACGAAACGGCTTACGCTGCAGGGATGCAGATGGCCGTGGATATACGCAAGCTGCTCACAGCTGCAACAAGACAGCAGCTGCTCGCTGCAGAGGCTAGACTTAAGGGGGAACCCAACTCGTTGCCCTTGCCGCCTCCGTTGATCTTCCTTCACGTTACGCAGGTGCACACGCAAGTTGTAGAAACACCTCAGGAAGCCAGCGTAGCAGCGCAGCTAGCCAGCTTCAGCAGCAAGCTCGCTACAAAGGTCAGCAGGTGGTCAGCAAAGAAGTTTTCGCAGAATCCGGAGCTCATTGACATTGCAGGTGAGTGCGGGTTTTGTACTTGGTGTTGCTGGCTTTGCAGTACTTGCTGTTTCAGCCGCTCATCGTGCAGCGTTCTCTGTTTTGTGAGTCTTTCGAACGGCTGTCTGTGTCAGACTTCGTAACGTGGCGTTTAGGCGTCGCGACATCAGGACTCTTTCTCGTTTTGTGTATCTGCAGGCTTTAGACAGGTGGCTGAGGTGCAACCTGTGTTTCTTCAAGCGCCACTGCAGCGATTGTCACAGCAAGGTGCCCGTTACCCGCTGGGAGTGCCCTTCGCGAGCTACCGCTCGACTGTGGGAGCAGCACTTGCAAGTTGGACTTTAGGGATGATCACGACCCAAGACGTCCTCTCGCTCGTTGTGGCCGCTGTCCGAGATTTGCGCTCTTTGGGGCCCGCCACTCACTGCTGGCAACGAACGCTTGTTCAAGAGATGCTTTTGGATGTTCTGGTGCGCTATCTGCACGTGTCCAGTCGACAAAAGCCTATAGTGCCTATAGTTTTTAGCCTTTATGCTGAGACGGTTACGCACCATTTCTGTGCTTTGTTTCAGCCGTTGGCGTCGAGATATTTGTGATAGCAGACGGTATAACTGTGCAAATGTGGGCGTACGTAGAGTAGACCAGTTCCGACTTTCACATCGGTGTGCTAATGCATTCGCATGTATGCATGCATGTGTTGTGTGCACGGGCGTGCGAGCTTGCATTTGTGCATTATTTGAATTGAATGCATTAGCAGGAATATATATATCTTTTTGCAAGTGTGCAACGTAGCGATAGATGAATGAGGGAACGGGAAAACACGCAGACAGTGGGGCGACGACATGGCTTGCATGTCGCTGATTTGGGTTTATTTGTGTTCGCTTCACCCTATCTTGGTGTGCATGCGAAGCTTTGTCTTTTGTACTTTACTTGCAGTGGGAGCTAACGCTGGCTTCCTTTTTACCTGTAAGTTTTTGCTTGCATTTTCCCGATGCATATATGTTTGTTTGCTCGAGTGTAGGCCGTGCAACACTTCGTGGGGCCACTGGAGTCGCGAACGGATTTGCTGGACGCCGAAGTGTTTGCAGATGCGGTGTCTGCTTTGAGAGCCTTTGAGGGATTCCACAAGGGACACTGTGGTTCGCACGAGAATGATAACGCGACTCCGCTCGAGACGTGTCTAGATAAACTGGAAAGGGCATTGGCCCAATACGCAGCCAACGGGGGCCCCCCAAACGCAGTTCAGCAGCTACTTCCACTCCTTAGTCTCGCATGCCGCTACAGAGGACAGATGGAGCACTGGCTCTCTGCGGGCCCTGAAGAAGTAGAGAGTTTTGCCTTCCTTCTTGGTCGCGCAATCATTTTAGGAACCCCGGCAGCAAGTATCGTCTATAAGAGCAAGGAGGGACAAGAGGAGCCCTCCACGCAACAAGAGCATGCACAACAGCAGAATGAACAGCAGAAGACGCAGCAGCAACTGTTGCTGCGGCAGCCGAATGCGAATGCGCCGCTAAGTGAAGTTGCGCTGTACAGGCTGCAGAGAGACCTGATGCTTATGCCGGAGTTGGCCGTGGATCTGCACATTGATCCTGATGAGGCCCCAAGCTCCATCCCTCCGTCGCTGCAGCTGCACGCCCTTGACGTGCAGACTGTGGAGGACCTGAGACCTTTCATGCAGGATGACTACCCTAATGGCATGGAAGCTCAGGGAGGCTTACAGCAGCAGAGTGAAAGCAGTGGCAGGGTCCCCAGCAGCAGCCGCAAGCGAGATGGCAGTGTCACAGCAGACCCTGAAAATGACGCAGTCAAAGACTATTTGGGGGAATGTCTGCATCGAAAGTCAGCCCCTGTATCAACGTGGGTGGAGAACCTAAGGTCTTTTTGTGTCAATACCAGGGATCAAGCGGGGACTGAAGCCTGTCAGGTATTAAAAACGTGGCTGTTCGGCCCGGGAAATTCTCATGGACCCCAGGTGGACCGCGGAAGCCAAAGACGGTCACGGGCAGCTCTACCTGCTCTTATTCGGGTTGCAGAGTGGAACACAGGAAAACCCAATACAACGCTGGATATTCCCGAGCTGAGCATCTCTCTCGAGCCAGTGCATTATAGACCAGGTAAGAATTAGGAACGATGATAAACGGGTGTCTATGGCCCGCCGCCTTGAGGCAAGCGTAGGTTATGCTTATACATTTGGGCTTATTAGCGTGGGCTCATTTTTGCTGTCTGTCTGGAATTACTCGCAGGAGCGACTGGCCGGGATGAGCTAGAAAAGGCCCACGCATTTAACATAGTCGGGAACGTTTACTCAGCACGAGGAACAGTGAGACATCAGCGGCCGTCTGAACGTGCTGCGTGGCAGCGTCTACTTTCCGCCCTTAAAGTGCTTAGGGACGTTGAGTGCAAGGATTTGTTTGGCTAGTCAGTACATAGAGCGGTGAGGCCTGCAAGGTGGCTCGCGTTTGATGTCGCAGTTTAGCACATTCCATTCAGTGAACGCACTCAGGCAGTTCTGAGCGCGCATGGCTTAGGCGCTGTGGGGAGCTACCTGGGCTTGAGAAAAGCCAACGGGTGGCAAATGCATTGACGGAGGTGGAGTTGGACGGATCACGCAAGGGATAAAAAAGCAGGTCTACACAGCAGACACCGAGGGACATGCACACATGCAGAAAGAAAGACGATAAGGCGGTTAGGCATATCTTTGTCTCTGTGCCAGCTTTGTCAGTTTTCTCGCTGTCCCGAACGCATCTGAAAAACAGCACTCTAACGGAAGGGTTGCTCTGCCGTACATTCATGTTTTCTGCTTGTCTCTTCCCTTCGTCATTTTCGCGGAAGCAACTGCTGACGTTTTCTTGAGGATGGCCAATTCATTGGTCCCATTTTAAAGCGCATTGCCCGTGTAGTTTGAAAAAGCACGAAGCACACAGAGGAGGGAGACAAGCAGGTTTCGGAGACTTGGTGCCCCAAGGTAGAGCCTTGACTGGCTGCTAGTATTTCTTTCAGGGACGTATGCGTAGAATAATAGGCCCCGACTTAGCAAGGACACGCGTAAATAGTGCTCGTAGCCACAAGATATGACAACATGCGTCATGTATAGAATGAGCGAGGTTTGTATCTAGAAGCATACTGATTGCTGGCAGCGAGAGTACCGTAAAATCACTACGGATGGCTGAGGGATGAGACGGCGAACGCTCGTAGATGTGTTGACCTCATCAAACCACTTTACACTGGCAACCGCTAGTGGAGGAAGATTCATATTAGGAGTTGGTAGAGCTGCTTCTAGCAGCAAGCAACGCTCCCAATATGCAAGTGGAACTACAAATGCAGCTTACAACTACATAAGCTGCAAGACCTTTACGGAAAGAAGCGCTGTTGCGATGGCAGACCTCAAACTTGATGGTGCCCTCCGCCGAACTGCAAATATATAGAGGAACATTTTTCCGCGTTACGCATATCAAATATATAGAGGAACATTTTTCCGCGTTACGCATAATTCGCATAATTGCAAGCAGCAGTCCCTTGTAAGGTTCGTCTCCGTCACGACTGTTTGAGTTGGAGGTGCTAAATGCACCTGTTGTCATTTGTGCGCCGGATGCTTAGTACCATCGCTCCTGTTCACCTTACTGTCATACTTCAGCTGTCAACAGCTGGTGAAGGCAGTCCGCGTGGTACATCCGTGAGCATTGCCAATACTCACAGATAACAAGCTTGTCTGTGTCACGTGGAGCTTCATTTTACGCGTGGGGTGGGGTTTTAATTCTAACTAACAAGATATCTCTAAAATTGCTCGAGTTGGGGCTTCTGAACGAGGCTGCCACTTCAACTGAAAGCTTTGTTGAATACTTCTCGCACAGGAACGCCATGAAAGCCAACGATCCACCACCAACCCCGAAGTAGTATCTGCAACCACAGGCATAAATGCTCCTCAGCAGTAGGAGGCTTCTGCATGCTCACATCAAGTGTAGCTAAGCACTTCTAAGTACTTATTTCTAATGGCACACATGGTAGCGGAGAGTGTGCCTAGCGAACCTGTATAAGGACCTCAACCGCGTGCACACAACACATTTACACTGCACAATACGTGTTGCTGAAGCGGAGCAAAGACAGCCCGCACCCACCTCTTGGACGCGACGAGCGCAACGCCATCTGTGTGCAGGAATTTCTCCAATACGTTTGCAAGAGGTTCAAAAGCCTCTTGTCTGTAAGTTCCTTCGGAGCAGAGGATGGCATTGAATTTAACTCCTGGTATGTCAGCTGTCTTCTGTGTTTTACCAACGCTTGTTTCCCTTTGTCGATGCTCCCGTGCTCCTTGCTCTTCTTCTGTTCCGGATTCTTTCCTTTCCTTTAAGCCTGTCACTATCCCCTGACAAGAACAGCAGATCTTGGGGAAGAGCTTCCAAGCGGCCGCCAAACAAAGAGCCCGGCCCTCCAGAAGGCAAAAGCTGCGCACAGCTTGAGAGTCCGTCTGCGTCCTGTTTTCTGCGCCCACTTTGGCAGCTACTGAACTAGCTGGCTCTGTTGCCTCAGAAGAAGGAGCAGCTGCTAATGGAGAAGCTCCAGAGGAGGAAACGAACAACTGATGCTGGTGCGCAGGAGTGCGCAATCCGTCGTGAGTATTCTTAAGTATATTCCACCTTGTGACCGAGGCAAGCACCTTCCACCAAGAAATGCAGAGACACAAGATACAAAGCAAAATGGCAATACAAAGACTTCAATTTACTCCCAGCAAAAACAGTCCCCCCGAAACTGTAAGCTTAATATCGCAACACGCAGGCACCGCCGCTGATATACTGGTATGCCACTTCCGCTGTCATATCCAGCTAAGCGGCGAACTCGCTAGCCAACTAATCATCCAATGTAGCACCCCTAAAAGGATCTAATCTGCTCTTCCAGTGCAGTGGCTAGGCTTCAACCTAGTTAGTTGGCAAACTAGCTGGGCCCTCAACTAGTTAAGCCAAAAGCGATATCTCCTCCTCACTAATTACATAACCAGAGAAAAGACCCATGAGAGCGGACACTGTAGGACATTTAGCTTCCACGTTCACGCGCACGATTATCCGAGTTGGCATCTCCGAAAAGACACATCAGGCACCTGTCTCATCGCTTGAAAACCGTGTTCCATCTGGCGCACCAACCCGTCATTTCAAACAAACAAAACACGGAATATATACTTTTTGCTGCCGATGTGCAGACCCTTACATCCTCATTTAAATCCTGGAAGACCACAGCTGAGGCATCATTTTGTAACGCCCAAATGCCCAGTGGTCCTTGGCCGCACCCTGTACGCAAGCGTCGTACTTTGTGTCCCCTTTAAGAAGGAAACAAGCAACTACTCGCTAGCTGATTACCTTTCCACCGTACGGGTTCAAGCAAATTCGTGCTTTGGTGTGCAAATACAGGTGAGGGTAACACCATCCTTGGACAACACTCGCTGAGCCCTAAAACAGGCTAAGATGGCAGATTTGCCACAAACAGAGACAAAAGGGGCATGGCGTCGAAAACACTCACCCAAATCCAGTACATGACCACCGGTCACCAATTCCCGAGCTCGAATTGCCTCCTTGCTGTCTGCCCTAATCAAAAAGCCCAGGAGGTCCCATGTACACTCCCAAATAGAGAAGCCGCCTTCGTAAACACCTTTCTCTACCTGCATAGGTAGTTGCAGCTCTAGCAGAGCAAAAATTAAAAGCGCAGAGGAGAAGCGGCGGGCGAGAAGGCGAGAATCGAACATATTGCAATCCGAACATGACAGAACACGGAGCATACCGAAGGAGAAAAGCATGCTCGTAGGTGCTGCATAGAAATGTACCCCTACAGGAAGGCAGCAACAGAAGCCACTGAAAGATAGCGGCGCCCCTATGCTCCACAGGAATCCAGGAGCGCACAGGAATACCCATATGCGTACGGATAGTGTTTACAGCATATGCCATCCTTTAGATTAATCAGTCTCTCACCAACGCATTGCTGCTGGCTGTGGGAGACCCCTCCACAATGTAAAGCACCGAGGCCTTGTCGCCAACAGAGGCCTGAGTTCGGTTTTCTTTCGAGACAACACTGCTGGCCTCTGCAGCGGAGTCGTTCTGCACAAAATTAGAAGCGTCAGAGGATGGCCTGAGGTGTATGCGCTGCGGGGCACCTTCTGGTCCGACGCATATTGCTGAAAATGCGGGCGGGGGCCCCCAGCTCTCTGGGAATATCATCTAAGTGATTGATTGAGGTGATGAAATAGACAAGAGTACAAATAAGGAACCAGAAGTGAAAATCAGGCTCTTTTTAGTTCATTTCAGCAAAAGGTGGACCGATACTTCCGACAAACATCGCCAAGGAGCGAAAATGACAGTAGGCAAGACTTCCAGTAACGCAGCTCCATTAAAGCGTAGTTGAGCAATTGTTTTGATTTAATTTTTACTTTCCTTCGTAAAAAGTCATTATCTTCCCTAAGTTAATCTAGCAACGAGCAAGAGATTGCCGGCAGAAATATTTTTCTTCAGGGACCCCACGGAAGCTCGAGCTGGCGATGCCAGCCACATTCAGTAAATGGAGGCATGCCCACCTCTTCAGTGTATTATTTTGAAAAGTGGCATTTCTATTTTTGAGCATCATATCTGGGCAGATAACGCTCGCAAACGCATTCATCTACGGCTTATCTCCAGATATTGTTGCATGCAGCCTCAAGAAACCCTCTCGATCTACGATTAAGTTCTACTTTTTTTACATTCCAGTGGAAGCCCATTATTGAGATGCATTCAATGTAAGAGACTTCAAGGAGAAGATCGCGAATGGGTTGCCAGTTCCTGGTGTGTTTGCTGTGGAACGGCTACCGATGAAAACGCCCCCAGAGAGGCAGATGCGATAGGAATTAATCCGAGGCAGTCTGCCCACTTTGTGCACTTTGTTTACATCTTTTGTCCTCACATTCTATCCTTCGGCTTGCTGCCTGTTTTACTGTCCCCGTTGAGTTTTTGCTATGGCTTCGTGACTATCTTCTTCGCCCAAAATTTCGTCTTGACCCTCTTACGTAGTGTCTAGAAGCGAAATGGCAACCGAAGAGCTTCCTGTTTTTCTTCCTGGAGACTACTGCCCCCTTATTCAGCAGTCGGAAGGCACATCAGCAGAGGCGGCAGCTGCAGCCTCGGCCTCCGCGTCCGCCGCAGCGGCTACAGCTCGCTCATTCCAGTGGAGCGCGGTCTATGTGCACCCTTCACACCTTTCTGGGAAGGATGAAACTCAAAATCATGGACCTGAGCCCGCAGTCGAGGTAGAGGAGGCCGGGCCTTGCATCAAAGCCAGAACGGCCTCCGTGATGTTGCCCAGACACGTCTTACCACCTCACGGGCCTACTTATGTTTGCATCAGCACAAACAACAGATATTCTCCGCGAGTTGGCGACATTGTTGTGGGCATCATTAGCTCCAAGGGCTCAGAGTACTACGGCGTAGGCACACCTTGTAGAAGCGAAATTTTACATGGCAGCCTCGCAGCGCATGTAGCTACCTCGTCGTATTATGGCTCCTCAGGGCTTCTATTTCGGTTTGCGAATTATTATGCTCCTTCTCATCAGCTAAATTCGGCAGCCACAAAGCAGCACCGTGGTCACTAGATGCTAATTATGCTAAAGTGAAGAATGGGATTACGAATGGTTCGACTTCAAAAGCAACGGGTTGATTCATTTCGTTATTTACTGATTGCCGCTGCTGCTTTGATTTTTAGGTGAATATACGAAGTGTTGGCCCGGCCCGCCTAGCAACTGTGGCGGGATTCGAAGGTGCGACTCGACGCAGCAAACCGCAACTGAGCGTTGGCTCAGTATTGCTGGTGCGCGTGTCCCATCTGTCGCCGCTGCTGGGTGCAGATGTCACCTGCTGCAGCAGCAGCTGCAGCAAGCCGTGGACCAGCAATGAAAAGGTCCTCGGGGAGCTCAGAGGAGGTGTCATCGTTGAAGTTGCGATCCCTTTCGCACTCACGTGAGGTCGCTGCTGTCGGTGCTTGTGCCGGTGCCTTTAAGTGCATCCATGCTTGCCGTTTGCTGTTGTTCCAGTTCAGTGCTACTGCTGGTTGATGCAATGACTGCCACTCATGAGGACCAAGGATCTGTGTACTATGTGTTGTCGCAGCTTGCTGTGCCACGACAGTCTGGTGCTGCAGTTGTTAGGCTCCCGACTGCCCTTCGAAATTGCTGTGGGACTCAACGGGCGCGTGTGGCTCCGGGCTGAAACTCCTACCCTTAGCATGAGGGTGGCCAACTGCATCACCGCCGCAGCGGCTGGAAAGACTCCGGCAGTTCTGCAGGCCATCGTAGATGCTGTCCTGCAGCAATGAAAACAGTTTTAGGGTCTCTCACTCTGCTGCACAGTAGCTTCAGCAAAAGGAAAGGGCAAGGTGTCGTTTGCTGGTATGGCGGTTATCGCAGCACACAGGCCGAGCTACAATCATATCCATTTAGAATATACAGGCGTAGTGGGCTGCCCGCAAGCCCGTCCGCGCATCTGTCAAGCATGCAGCAGCATGGCTTGGAGAGGCCGACAGAAATTGTGTGCCGATCACCCCCCCCAAACACCTCGACTGGTTTATTTCCAATCAATTTACTTCGTTAGTTTCGTAGGCTACCCGTGCAGCAGACCCACCGCGGCTCATACACAGCAGCACCCATTACTCTATTGCTATCCGCCTTTCTGCACCCTCGGTACATTTCCGAGAGCCAGGCGCTAGCCTAGATGGTTAATACCAGCTGCCAACTTAGACCCAGCAGGGTTTTCGCGCACTGCGCCATAATTAGCACACCCACGCTATCGTTGAGATGGACGGATTCCATGGGTGAAACCCGCAGATACAAATATTCGTGGGAGTTCGTTTTGTATGAACCCAAGACGTTTACCCAATATGTACGATACAATAAAGAGGAGACTGAACAGTAAGAACTAACTTCGTGCATATGTGGTGGTGCGGTCAGGTGCAAAGGGCGAGGCGGTTGCCTCTTCCTCTCCGTTCCCTTCCGCGGCCACCTGTGAAATCACTACAATCATACCACTTCCTGCCCGCGATCAGGAAGCGGCCGCTTCGTCGCTGAACTCAGCCATCCATCTTCATCCCTGAGACCAGGCAAAGCCCAAAGGCCTTGTCGTGCCTTCCCCACAACCACAGGCATGAAACGCGATTGGGTATTCACGTTTGCCTTATCCAAACACAAAACAGATACGTCACCCGAAATCTCCTATCCCTAGCACACCTAGGCGAGGAGGAGGCATCACGCAGCAGCCGCGCCTCCTCTCAAGTTCATGCTCCACTCAGCGCAGTGGTGGTTGTGCGGCCTCACTGGCCCCACAGCTAGAAACTTGACTGCGGTCAGAATCCAATGGCCCTCGAACTATGCAATCCTTGCCCTCTACCTCGCACATCTGTACTGCGGGGACGGACTGCACGTCGTCAGCTGCACGCTTAACTAACTGTCCCGTGGAGCACCAACCGCCGCTGCTGTTGGCTGTTTCTTCCCGCTGCATTGGGGGGGACTTTGTCGCAGCAGACGCTTCGGGTGTGCAAGGAGGCGACACTGACTGGGAACTACCTGAACAACATCCAGTCGACCCAGACGAAGAAGGGGAGCAACAAGTGTTCACGCATTGCTGCTGCAGCGCCTCCCCACTGCTGCTCGTGCAAGACAGTTGCCCAGGAGTATCGCTACTGCTGTTGCCATCACCGTTGCTGCTGGGTCCCTCAACCGGAGCCGCAGAGTGCTGATGCTGGTTGTTATTCCAGCCCAGTGCACGGGGTCTACCCGTCGCCGCAAAAGGGGAGTCCAAGACGAGTCTAAAGTACTTGTCAAATTCACACGGCATGACGTGCAACCTGAAGTGCAGCATACGTAGTAGCGTCGCTTCAAGGTGGTTCATCTCCTGCAGGGGTAAGCCCCCAACTTTCGCGTAGTACGCGTTCGAGTAGAATGTGTCGTCCGCAAATTTGACGGCAACCATTAGAGCTGTGACCGCCAGACGGTGCAGGTTGAGGGGACACAGCCAAACATGATTGTTCATTTGGAGCAGCCGGTCAATGTAGACCAGAGCCAGCACAAAACACTCCCCACTGCACTGAAAAAAACGGGCCAGACGTTCCAAGTAGTCAGGCATGCTTATCATAGGCTCAGTGGCGCTGAGGAAGCATGGGGCTCCGCATCCTTCGGAGCTGTTCTGCATCCCGAGGTGCTGTAAAAGAGAAGCTACTGAAGCAACAATGGACGCGTCAGCCGCAGACACCTCAAACAAAGGCTTCCTCGAGGGACCTCGACCACCCGCAACTGCGGCGCAACTGCAGTTTGAGCAGCGGCGGCAGTTCGCCCCATGGGAGCAGTCTCGGGATGCCTCCACAATTCGTGACGCGTGGACCCCATCCCGTGTCTCCGCGTGGCCGAAACCATGCCGTAGAGGGTTGGCTGTGGGGACCCCTTCAGCATGCAAGGGAGCCCGCACCCCGACGGCCACAGCTGGTGGGGTCATCACCTACAAGTGGTGAGAACGGTTTTTTTGGCGGCTTGAACCAGAACAGTGGAAGCTGTCTAGTGAAGACTCATCAGATCCAACTAATAAAACGAACCTTGCAAGGAGGGAACAACTTCTATGCCTCCACCGAAAAGGTTCCAGCTGGCGGTGTTATGCAATGTGCCGTACACAGGTGCAAGCAGTCGAACTATAAGGGAACACGCAAAGGATCCAAACGGCACTCTAAATCAAAATTTTCTAACGTAGTGCACGTGGAAGCAAGAAGAATACTGCTTGAAACCCTCAGTCGCTCGAATTCCGTGAACAAATGAGCAACCGTCACACTTCAGGCGAGCCATTTCATGGACGCGATGTCACGTTAAATACAGCGACCACTTTGTAGCAATTCGCAATTCAAATCCTACTAGTTTTCTCAGTTCCGCGGCGACGGCGTCTCCTGGCCTCTTCTAGGCCCCCAGTCAGCCTGCAATGAATTCCTGGGTCGAAAAAGGTCCTTACGGAAGAAAAATGCGACAAGCAGGAGGATAAAGAAGCTTCTACAGAAGGAAATGATGCACATATGCAGAAATAAGAGGCTTCGTGACAATGAAGCCCGTCTCCGTCAGGTCAAAAACAGGTGTCTATACCCCAGAATGTGCTGCAGTACGGCAGAGTACACGGGAGCGGCAAGGAGAGAACGAACTGAGCGCCGCCAGCCAGAGAAAAACCTGGTATGTGTGACGCCAACAAAGAAGTGAAACAAGTTAATTCAAAGGAAAGCAGGAGGCAGCAAACACGTCGCCCCCTTCGTGCCTGCGGATTGCACAGACGGAAGGCACACCCGAGAGGGAATCACGGGTTCAGCCAGCAGCCGTGCTGCTGGTGATAAATATATACAAATGAGCTGCTAATCTGGCTAAACCCCACAACGAACTCCCGCTGATCTCCCACAGAATCTCCCCGCAACACAGCATGGGCTGGAATGGAGGGCATGCGAGGGGAAACCGACAGAGCTTCGCGACGGTTTGCTGTCACTGGTTGCCTTTACCCCGGTTTCTGGCACTACCTGTAGCTTTGCACCAAGTAAAACTTTATTTTTTCTGTTGATGCTTGAGGCTGAACGTTGCTTTATTGTTGTGGATTTTTTTATAGCAGATTCTTTAACGCACTTACTCTTGGGATGCTGCAGACCGCTGCCTGGCCTGCAAGCTGCTCTGTACAAAATAACATTTTGAGAATCGGAAAAGCGGATAGGGCCTGCCGATTATTGTACACACAGATTCTACATAACTATGCATGGATTATTCTTGTGTAGGTAGCACACTTCGGCAGGTAATGAGGTGGTGCTGAGGTGCCGTCTACAGTCATATGGACCTTGTGCACAACGTGGCCGATACAGCACTTCTAAATACCGAAAATGAGGTGCCTGAAATGACAACTTACTGGGGCTTTACATAGTATTTGGATGCAGCGGATGGGTGGGAGCAACAGGCAGGTCTCCAGCAAGTACTGCCTTATGCCACGCTTCACATGGCATCCCTTGTGCGTTGGCGTGAATGCTCTGCTCTTTCAGGGAAGGTACTGGTCTTAAATAAAGTGTTAGAATGGCAAGTAATGTTTTGATTGTCTCTTTTTGCGTAGTATTTGTAGTGGCGCCCCCTAAAGCTTCACCTGTATTCTTCAGGGATGTTGGGCTTGTATAGAGACTTTTGCAGAGCGCGAGCTTCTCTGTATCTTTCACTCTATACGATGATTTTACTTACATCTTCTGATAGTTTTGGCGGCACAGCTCATCAAAAGGGAATTAAAAGAGTGAAATTCCGAGGAGCACAAAAATTGCGGAATTGCAGGAACAGCCTTGAGGGAGTTCCTTCAGCGTCTTGGCACTGCAGATTATGGGGCATACCCCGCAGATAAGGGTCAACGACAGAGGTTGACGGACCCGCCATGTCTTCAACAATAAGTAGCTACAACGAAGTCTCAAGTGCGCAATTTTCCTGTGGAAGCACGACGTGCCATGTTCCTGCCCACTATGTTTTTTCCTTAGATTTCAGGCCCTTATAAAAAAACACGGTCTCTGATGGAAGCGTATATAGTTTATGGTCTTGTTCTGAGACCTTCCTTACTAGCTAGCGCCTTACCCACTTTTACTCTCCTTGATACTAAGAAACGTGAGATGATGGCACCAAGCATTTAAATATATGACAAGCAACTCACTCTTCACTGGAAAGTGCCGACCACGCTATGCGCTCTAGACTTTCATATACAGCGCATTCTATCCTAGTCGTCGGCAGAATATCACAGTTTGTGCTGAAGTCTAGGGAAAAGTTGGATCATAATCGCATAAGCTGCTCGTCTCAGGTTCCTAATCTTAGGAATGCCATCGCCTTTTTGGAAGTTTTGGAAAGCAATGCTGCATCATCTTCTTGTTCCTGCTGTCTTTCCTAAACTCCAATGCTTGTCAAGATGCCGCCGGCAGCAGTCGATAAGTTCTGTGGGAGATTGACAAAACTCTCCCTTCACACGATTCACTAGCTAGTACAGCATGTGAACCCGGAGAATCTTACTGGAAAACGAATACGGAGAGTAGCAAACAGAGAGAGCAGCTACCACAGAAGCGACGATGGCTATGCGTGCAACTTCAGCAGCAGCCGTAGGCAACAGTAGCGACTGTGGGGACAACAACGGCACAAAATCGCACTAACAGCAACAACGAAAGTCGCAAAAATAGCAGCAGAACAAACGCAGTACACCAAAAGCACACAGAGTAAACGCAGCAGCCACATCGACAAGCCGAACAAGCACCGAAGTAACAGCAGAAAATAGAGCATATCGGAGCGACTGGCACTTTTTCTATGTCCGCTGGCCTGGCACTGTAGCAGGACCCGCACTGTACAACGTCGCATTTTGCGCCGAATTTTCCCGCAAAGCAACACAGGTGATAAGGATTCATCGTGGGCAGCTTCCGCTACTCTCGAGTATACCGAGCTCAACTGCTGGCTGCAGCAGGAGGCCCAGAAGGTACATACTCAAAGCGCCTGTTTCCGGACGGCTTACCCGCTGTGCAACCACCTAAACCGACAAATGACCTTCAGATATCACTATTACGAGGCCAGCTGCCTACGAAAGCATTCGGATATTGCATGCCGCCCAATCTGTTCAATGTCCACAAGCAAGACAGAGCTAATCTATGAGCTAGTAGGTGAGCATATCCTATTTATTCCCCCATTTATGCTCCAGCCATCATGACTGACACGCTTGGTAATATTTTTATCAAACGGACAAATCGTATACTGCTGAGTTTTCAAGCCATAAATGCTTTTACAACTATCCGTGATTCTCATGTTCCTTTTAATCGAACCACGGAAAAGTGGTGCGAAGAACTTCGTACTTTTCCGCGGTCCATTTTTAGGCTGGCCTCCGTCAAATCGAATGGTCCAGTGGTCCCTCAAATCGAATGGTCCGGTGAAGGGCAGTTTTCCAATCATCCCTAGGACTCTTCGAGTATAAAGGTAGGCTTTCCAGCGTCAAGCTTTCTCCTGCTACTTTTCAACGTGAATTTAGCATTTTTTCCGGCTTTTACTATGACAGGGTGTCAATGTTTACCTTGACGGTGTGCTGATCTAGAGTCTCAGCGTCACGACATGCCACCTGTAGTGCACAGACACTGTAGTACACTGCGTTCTCTGCAGCGTCTACGATGCTGCACTGCCTACAATTCGGGCGTTCTAAGAAATATTCTCTACTACCGACGCATCGGTCGCGTAACGTCTACAAATATATTAAAAGACCGTTTTGTTTCGAGTTCTCAAACCCATAGTTTCATAAAAGTCATTTCTTCTTGTTCTTGCTTTGCTGGTCCGGTGAGGATGTGACGCGCACCGGTGCCGGCGTTGTCGGCAGCCAGAGCATTCGCAGGCATTTCTAGCCTATACATGTTAGTTTGCTGATAAATTGCATTTGTATTTCACTAGTAAGAGGTTACAGCTCTCAATCCGCGTCTGAACTTCACAACCGCCTATAGGTCATCAGTTAGCTATGCTCTATAGGTCACCAGCAAGCCCCATTGTGTCTGCGCACTACAGGCACTAGAATAGGGCTTGCTGGTGACCTATAGAAGATAGCTCGCCTGTGACCTACAAGAGGTCACAATACAGTACAAAGACAGGACCCTTTTACTAGGATTGAAGTAAGCCAATTTGTCGGCAAATTAGCGTGTATACACTAGACGTGCCTGAAAATACCCGGAGAATGGGACTGGCGATAGCGCCGGCACCGATGCAGGCCTCCTCTTCATAGGGCCTAGGAGGCGAGAACACCGAGTGGGGGGGATTTCAGGAGAACAGATTTTGAAAAACTATGAATCAACGTATTTCGTGATATTTGGGCTACTGTTTCAAGGAAATGCGCCGTAGGTAGACGGTTATCGTAGGGCCCTTCTCGAGGGGGCAGGTAGCAGCGTAGTCGCAGCAGTAGGTGCTGTGCAATACACCACCAGCTCCTGCAACGAATTCACGGCATTCTCAAGAGTCAGCTCTACCTTAGGTTTCCCAAATACAATTCCATGAAAAGAAGAGCATGTCAGCTTTGATTACACTGCCAAAATCCAGAGTATAAAGCCCGAAGCAGACAACGTAAAAACGCTTTTTGCATTGCCAGAGGCGTTGACTGACGAGGTACATCTACTATTCATCGGTCCTGCAAACTATTGCCGCATACTCATTGGCTCACACTACGCCGGCATGTCAAAACTTCTCACTGATGTCACTAGCAAGGGAAGTCCCTTCGCGTGTGTAGAGCACCAAATGCAACGTGATCACGTAGGGCAGGGCCCCTGCGGGCAGGGAATAGCTTTCTTCAGCCTCAATAAACATTCCTATCGGTCAGGGTTGCTTGCCCACACTGCAGTATAGGTAAGAACTTGCGTTCACTGCCACAGTTTCAAAGTTTTAGTCACCGTACTGCGCCTGTGTATTACCGGAATGTGGCGAATTCGCAGCTTGCAGTCACACAAAAGC